CTAAAATGAGCATAATACCCAAGGCAATCTACAAATTCAATGCCATCCCTATCAAAATACCAATGGCATTTTTCACAGAAATAGAACAAATAATGTTAAAATTTGTGAACAAGATTCCTAGTAGTCAAAACAAGACTCCTGCTAGCCAAAACAATTTGAAGAAAGAAGAACAGGGCTGGAGAAATTATGCTCCCTGTCTTCAAGCTATTCTACAAAGCTACAGTAATCAAAACAGTATGGTACTGGCACAAAAAACAGGCACATAGATCAATAAAACATAATAGAGAGTCCAGAGATAAAGAATCTACCTGCCAAAGCAGGAGACACAGTTTCGATCCCTGATCTGCAAAGATCCCACATGCCATGGAGCAACTAAGCCTGTGTGCCACAACTATTGAGCCTGTGCTCTAGAGCCCAGGACCTGCAACTATTAAGCCCACATGTTGCAACTACTGAAGGCTGTGCCCCCTAGAGCCCATGCTCAGTAACAAGACAAGCTACCGCAATAAGAAGCCTGCACATTGCAACAAAGAGTAGCCTCCACTCGTTGCAGAAAGCCCGCACAGCAACAAAACACAGCACAACCAAAATTAAAATAAATAAATAAAATTAAATACAAAAAAAGAATAGAGAGCCCAGACATATCCAACACTCTCATGGTCAATTAATCTATGACAAAGGAGAAAAGACAGTCTCTTCAATAAGTGGTGCTGGGGAAACTGAACAGCTACATGTAAAAGAATGAAATTAGAACATTCTCTAATGCCGTAAACAAAAATAAACTTAAAATTAATTAAAGACATAAATGTAAGATTAGATACTATAAAACTCCTAGAGGGAAAAAACATGAGTAGAACACTTTGGTATAACTGAAGCAGAGTAGTTTTCCTTTTTCTTTTGTTTTCTTTTTTTGATTTGTCTCCTAAAGCAAAGGAAACAAGAGCAAAAATAAACAAACGAGACCTAATTGAACTTAAAAGTTTTACACAGCAAAGAAAACCACTGACAAAACAAAAAGAAAATCTACTCAATGAGAGAAGATATTTGCAAGTGATATGACCAATAGGAATTAATATCCAGCATATATAAACAGTTCATACAACTTAACATCAAAAAACAATCCAATTAAAAAATGGGCAGAATTGAATAGACATTTTTTCAGAAAGAAAATACAGATAGCCAACAGGCACTGCGCTGAAAAGATGCTCAACCTTGCTATCATCAGGGAAATGCAAATCAAAACCACAAAAAGATTTTACTTCATACTTGTCAGAATGGTTTATAATTGAAAAGAACACAAATGACAAACATTGGTGAGAATGTGGAGAAAAGGGAAGCCTTGTTCACTGTTGGTGGGAATATAAATTAGTACAGCCACATTGGGAAACAGTATGGAGATTTCTCAAAAAACTAAAAATAGAGCTGCCATATGACCCGGCAATTCCACTGTTGGGCATATATACATGACAAAAACACTAATTCAAAAAGATACACTTACTCCAATGTTCATTGTTTTTGTTGTTGCTCAGTCACTAAGTTGTGTGTGATTCTTTGTGACCCCATGGATTGCAGCACACCAGGCTTCCCTGTCCTTCACTATCTCTCAGAGTTTGCTCAAACAAATGTATATTGAGTCAGGGATGGCATCCAACCATCTCATCCTCTGTCACCCCGTCTCTTGCCCTCAATCTTTCCCAGCATCAGGGTCTTTTCCAACGAGTCGGCTCTTCACACCAGGTGGCCAAAGTATTGGAGCTTCAGCTTTAGCATCAGTTTTTCCAATGAATACTCAGGACTGATTTTCTTTAGTATTGATTGGTTAGATCTCCTTGCTGTCCAAGGACTCTCAAGATCTTCTCCAGCACCACAGTTCAAAAGCATCAATTCTGCAGCCCTCAGTCTTCTTTATGGTCCGACTCTCACATCCATACATGACTACTGGAAAAACTATCGCTTTGACTAGACAGACCTTTGTCGGCAAAGTCATGTCTCTGTTTTTTAACGTTCATAGCAGTATTATTTACAACTGCCAATGTATGAAAGCAACCTAAGGGTCCATCAACAGAAGAATGAAGATGTGAGGTATATATATATATATACACACACATACACACACACAATACAATACCATGCAACCATTAAAAATGAAAATATTGCCATTTATAACAACATGGGTGAACCTGGAAGTTATTATGCTAAATGAAATAAATCAGACAGAGACAGACAAATACTGTATGATATCACTTACATGTGGAATACAAAAAATATAACAAACTAGTGATTATAACAAAAAGGAGCAAACTCACAGATATAGAGAACAAGCTATTCAATAGCATTGGGGAGAGGGGGTAATAGAGGATCTCGTGATTAAGAAATACAGAGTACTATACATAAGCTACAAGGACAGATTATACAACACAAGGCACGTAGCAAATATTTTATGATAACTATAAATGGAAGTATAAGCTTTACAAGTTGTAAGCTACTATATAATACACCTACAACTTATACAATAGAATACATCAACCATAACTCAATAAAGAAAGAAAATATTACACCCAACTTTGAACCTATAGTTAACAATCTAGATAACACAGACTGGTAGGGAGCATTGAGTTGATGTAAATGTATAACAAAGACTAAACCACTGTATGGGTTACAGTTTCAAATAGATTGCCAGTAACATTGATAGCATGATATAAAAATGTTATTAGTAAAAATAAAATGTGAGAAAAGGGAAGTGATAGCAATTATGAAGATGCTAATTTGCTTATTTTTTAAAGCAGTTAGTCATAGAATCTGAAATGTGTTTTTGAAAACATGTTTTCAAAACATAAAAATTTCCATTCATAATGACTTTTAAATCTTAGCTATTTTAGGAATTAACATCTTATGCAACAGGAATATTTTCTAAATTTCAAGAATCCTTAGATTGTATTTTATTTCTTTTTCTCTGTTATTAAATTTAATAAAGTTAATAGTTTAAAGCAATGACTTTAAAAATATCTTATCTTCCCCCCAACTTCAAAAGTATAAGACAGTATAGTGCTGACTTCCCAGGTGACACTAGCAGTAAAGAGCCCGCCTGCCAATGCAGGAGACGTAAGACACATGGTTTTAGTCTCTGGGTGGGGAAGATCCCCTGGAGGAGGGCATGGCAACCCACTCCGTATTCTTGCCAAGAGAATCCCATGGACACAGGAGTCTGGCAGGCTACAGTCCATAGGGTTGCAAAGATCAGACAAGACTGAAGCGACTTAGCACACATAGTACTGGCATAAGGATCAACATATAAGTCAATGGCAGCAAGTTAAGATCCAGAAATTAACCCTTACATTAACAATCAATTATTTTCAACAAGGGTACCAAGACAATATAAGATAATAACAAACGTTGGTGAGGATGTGGAGAAATTGGAGACTGCTAGTGAGAATGTATTAATAAAATGGTGCAGCCATTTTTCAAAACTGCCTGGAAGTTCCCTAAAATGCTAAACACAGTATTATCAAAAGATCCAGTAATTCCACTCCTAGATATATATCCAAGAGAAATGGAAACATGAGCCCACGCAAAAACTTGTACACAAGCATTCATAACAGCATTATTTGTAATAGCCAAAAAGTGAAAATAACCCAAATGTCTATAACAAATGAATGGATAATTCAAGTTGGTATATTCATAGGATGGAATATTAATCAGCAGTAAAAAGAACAAAGCTCTAATACATAAGATGAAGGACCCTTGAAAACAGTATCCTAAGTGAAAAAGGTCAGTCACAAGACCACATTCTGTATGATTTCATTTATGTGACATGTTCCAAAGAAGTAAATCTATAGAGCCTGAAAGTAGATCGTTGATTGCCTGGGACTGAAAGGATTGAGGAGAAATAGAGAGTGAACGCTAATGTGTGTGAAATTTCTTTGGGGGATGATAAAAATGTTCTAAAATTGATTGTGGTAATAGTTGTACAAATCTGTATGCTAAGTCGCTTCAGTTGTGTCCAGCTCTTTATGACCCTATGGACTATAGCCAGACAGGCTCCTCTGTCCATGAGATTCTCCAGGCAAGAATACTGAAGTGGGTTGCCACGCCCTCTTCCAGGGAGGGAACCCAGGTGTCCCACATTGCAGGTGGATTCTTTACCATCTGAGTCACCAGGAAGCCATCAGGATCACTGGAGTGGGCAGCCTTTCCCTTCTCCAGGGGATCTTCCTGACCCAGGAATCAAACCAGGGTCTTCTGCACTACGGGCAGATTCTTTACCAACTGAGCTACCAGGGAAGCCCTAAATATGCTGTAGGGGTCAGTTAATTATTTTATGTGTGTTTGATATATTTCATAGTGTAAAAGAATCAAATTGTGCCCAAAATAAAATTTTAAAACACATACAAAGATCCTGCTTTTATAAGATTGCTTGTCTGCATGCCTACTATATATGTATGTATGTATGTGTGTGTGTGTGTCTGAGTGTATATATGTGTGTGTGTATATAAACATATATATGCTCTACCTCTGTAGATAGATCAATCTAGAAAAATGTTCACCTAAAATTAACATTTTATCATACAGCATTGGCATTTATTTTCTTTACTATGCTTGGAAAGTTTGGATGGCACATCTAATAACAAATACATACCTTTTTTTCCCCCCTAAAAGTCAGAGTTTTGCTTTACTTTTTTCCATGCCTTATTCATATTTCCTTGGTTTTTACCTAACGTCCATTCCCTGTTCTAGGACCCACCCTATCCACTAGACCACATTACATTTAGCTGTCATATCTCCCTAAGGTCCTCTGGGCTGTGCCAGTTTCTGAATTTCCTTGTTTTGGGTGACCTTGACAAATTTTAGGAACACTGGTCACATATATTGTAAAGTGTCCCTGAACTGGGATTTATCCGATGGGTTTCTCATGATTACACTGGGGTTACAGGTTTTGAGGAGGAAGACCAGAAGGGTACAGTACACCCACATAAAGAGCATATACTAATAACGTGACTTACCACTGTTGATATCGACCTTGATGACCAGGCTGAGGTGGTGTTTCTCCGCTGTAAAGTTACCCCTTTTTTCCCTCTTTGGAAGAAAGTCACCATGTGCTCCTTACACTTAAGACGTAGGGAGCTGTCCTCCACATCTTTCAGGGCAGAATATCTACAAAACACATGTGGAATCCTCAGGACGGGAGATTTGTCTCTTCTCCGTTTATTTATTTATTCCTTCCTTCCTCCAAGCATTTATTTATCTCAGCATGAACTCAGGGATATTTAGGTTTTGACATGGATTATAATCACTTTATTGCTTAAATTATCCAAACTTTGGCCATTGGAATCTCTTTCAGTTGGCCCCTGTGTCCCTTTGACATAGCCCCTTCACTGTGTGGTTTTTGCTTTGCACCAATTTTTTCAGAGCAATATGCATAAAGATTAATGTACATTAATGATGCTATAGATAGTAATGCATAGTATACTGTCAAGCACACTTAAGTAAAATTACTAATATAACTTAGCTTCCCTGATAGCTCAGTTGGTAAAGAATCCGCCTGCAATGCAGGAGACCCTGGTTTGGCCACCTGATGCAAAGAACTGACTCACTGGAAAAGACCCTGATGCTGGGAACGATTGAAGGCAGGAAGAGGAGGGGATGACAGAGGATGAAATGGTTGGATGGCATCACTGACTCGATGGACATGAGTTTCAACAAGCTCCGGGGACTGGTGATGGACAGGGAGGCCTGGCGTGCTGCAGTCTGTGGGGCTGCAAAGAGTCAGACAGGACTGAGAGACTGAACTGAACTTAGCTAACAATAATAGCTCAACAACAATATTATTTTTAAAAATTCCACCATATTTAATTTTTCACATTGGAAAACACTGACAGACTACCAAGAGCTAACCAACCTCTGTGGAGCACTTACTATGCATCTACTGTTCCATTGAATCCTCACAATAACCCTATGGCTAAACCTTGAGGAATATTTAATGTAAAGTTAGTATTAACCTTATTTAATACAAGGCTTAGACTCACACTCTAGGAGTCAAGCACAGCACTTCTCAAAGTGGGGTTCCTGTACTTTGAATCAGTAACACCTGAGAATTTTTTATGAATGCATATTCTTGGCTGTCACTCCAGATTTCCTGAATCAGAAACTCTGGGGTAGGGTTTAGAAGGTTGTGTTTTAACATACCCTCTGGACAGAGGATCCTGGCGGGCTACAGTCCATAGGGTCGCAAAGAATCAAACTCAACTGAAGCAACTTAGCACATCCTGCACGCTAAGTGATTCTGAGTCAATTCTTGAGAAAATGATGGAGTCTTGAGAAATGTCTTGAGAAAATGAAAAGTCTGTGTGCTTTATCACTTAATAATAGTTTCCCCTTAATCACTAAGAAGAAAATCAGTTATAGGTGATTTCAATTTAAAAAATGGTGTTAAATGAGGTAGGATTCTGGGGTAGTTTAATTCTGTACTCTGGGCTCCTACTGCATGACCAAACAGTTTTAAGTACTCAGTTCACCACTAGAGAGAGACCCTATACCCCTCAAGTGTGAGCGTGTCTAGTCCCTCAGTCGTGTTCAATTCTGTAACACCACGGATTGTAGCTTTCCAAGCTCCTCTGTCCATGGGATTCTCCAGGGAAGAATACTGGAGCGGGCTACCATCCTTACCTCCAGGGGATCTTCCCCACCCACGGACTGAGCCCACATCCCCTACGTCTCCTTGCATGGGCAGACAGATTCTTTACCACTGAGCAACCTGGGAAGCATAAGTACTGAATCTTTAAAGTGAAAAAGTCACACACAAGAAACCTAAAATTTTACTGGAGAGAGATTTTATCTCTCTGCATCATTATTAAAACAATTTGCTTAAGCTTCTTAACATGGGACAGCTGCATTTGAAGTTATATTGCTTAGTCGCTCAGTTGTGTCTGACTTTTTGCGACCCCACAGACCGGTTCCTCTGTCCACCAAGTTCCTCTGTCCACCAGGTTCCTCTGTCCACGGGATTCTCCAGGCAAGAATACTGGAGTGAGTTGCCGTTTCCTTCTCCAGGGCATCTTCTTGATCCAGGGATCAAACCCAGGTCTCCTGCATTGCAGGCAGGTTCTTTACTGTCTGAGCTACAGGGAAGCCCATTTATTTAGGCATAAACACTAGCAAATAAATATATCATGGTTGGTCACTCAACATCTTTCTTCATTTCTAAAATGGGGCAAAAGCTTAGTGGAAGAGAATAACAAAATAATAGCATAATTAAAATAAATGATCTAATTCAAGCATCATCACCTCTAAAGTTCCAAAGCAATAAGAATAGAAAAAAAATTTAATGATCCAGTTATGTGCATCGCTTTCCCTTTCCATGTTATTCAGAGAATTTAGGTTAAAGATTGGTAAATACAGCATCTGGTACATGGTGAGTTCTCTGTACGTAGGTCTGAATAAATGAGTAAATGGAGTTAATGTAACTCTTTGCCTTCACTGGACCTTTATTAAGCCATCCCACATTGGAATTCATTCAACTTTACACAAAATAAGATTGCGCTATTGTCACAATAAATATACAAATATTGCATAGTAGTTTATGAGAAGTCAGGTTATACTGCTTATAACCTGGAACAATAATACTGAAAGATTTTGGAATGCTACACCCAATGTTGGACACACACTGGTTATTCCAAACAAGAAAAGACATTCATTAACTATTTAGTAATTTTTGTTTATGTTTGTTTAGTAACTTTGAAAAAAAAAAAAGCATAATGAGAGGAGTGGGTCCTGGTACAGTGGAAAGAGAGGGAAGATAAAGGATAATTCCAACTTCCCTACTATCTTACCATGTGACCTTGGCCTCCCCAGGTCCCCAGCTCCTCTTCTATGAAATGTGTCCTGGGATAAAATACAGCCTATAAGAAAGTGCCTCCCAACAGTGAAAGAGACTTGAGAACAATTGTGCTGATGTATGTTTCGAAATGTCTGTTGACAGAAGAGAAAGATCAAAGAGTCCAGATCTCAGGGGAAGAGTTCCTAGAACACATATGTTGGGTGGAGACTGAAAGAGTACAGTTCAATATATATTTGTTCAACAATTACTATACTATGTATGCGGCATCTGCCAAAAGATTTGAGTTACATGATGAATAAGATAGTCCCTGCTGCCATCAATATCTTCATACAGAGACCAAGATAAGGACGATGATGATCAATCTGTGTCACTATGACTAAACTACAGGACGCCCACACATTTGGCCAAACATTACACTGGATGAGTTTGTAGGGGTGTTCCTGGACGGGCTTAACATTTGAATTGGTAGACTGAGTAAAATGGATTGCCTTCCCTGACATGAGTGGGTCTCATCCAATGAAAGACCTGACTAGAACAAACAGGCTGAGGAAGAGGGAATTCCTCCTGCCTGACTGTATGGGCTGAGATTTGGGGGTTTTTTCCCAGTCTTCAGACCCAGCCAGAAACACTGGCTCTTCTTGGGTCTTGAGCCTGACAGCATTCATACTGGAATTCATGCCATCAGCTCTCCTGGGTCTCCAGCTTATTGACTGTGTATCTTAGGACACGGTCTCCATAATTATATGAGCCAATTCTTTATAATAGAGCCATATATATGGTTTTCTCTGGAGAACCCTAATAGAAGGACCAACCTCCCTAGCATGGCCAAATGCCCTACAAGACCTGGTCATACCTACTCTCCCACTATAATGCATATCACCCACTTCCTCTGCTCTAGCCTCACTAGTTTTCTTTCACATCCTCACATGCATCATGCTTCCTCTGTCATGGGGTTTTCACTCACTCCTTTATTAATTAACAAGCTCTACTAATTATTGAGTTCCTACTATGAGCCAAGGGCTGTGGTGGCATAGGGAATATAATATAAACATGATAGCAAAGTGCTTGATTTCATGGAGAATATGTTCGAGTTATGGGAGGCAAATAGCTTACAAACATGTTAACTTCAGAGAGTAGCATGCACCTCAGGGGAAACAAAAAAGGAGGATATGGCAATAACAAGGTGATCAGAGAAAGTCTCACTCTGTAGGTGCCTTTTAAGTAGAATTTTATATGATGAAAAGGGCTAGTCATATGGAGATATAAGGAGTGTTCTAGGCAGAGAAAACAAAAACAAGACTGACTCTGAAATGAGCTTGATATATGGTAGGGATACCATAGTGGGGTGGTGAGAGGAGGGAGGTGGGTAAGTAAGAGCAAGATACAGCCTTCATAGCCACAGTAAGAATTCAAAATTTTATTTTAAGCATAATGGGAATGAGTCTTAGTCCACTGAGCTGCTATAGCAAAAATGCCACAAACTGGGTAGCATATTAAAAAAACAGAAATTTAAGTTCTGGAGGCTATGAAATCCAAGCACTGGTCTAGTCGGTGTCTGCAAAGAGCCTCTCCCTCATGGATGCCAGCTTCTCAGTGTACAGAAGGAGACGGGAGCTCTCCGGAGTCTCTTATCAGAGCACTAACCCCATTCATTAGGCCTCTTCCCTCATGACCTAAGCATCATCCAAAGACCCTACATCCTTACATCATCACCTTAGAGAGCAGGATTTCAACATGTGAATTTTGGGGAGACACAAACATTCGGACCCATCCAGTATAGGCCTTTGAACTGTTGGCATAATCCAACCCACACTTTATTTTGTAATGCCGTGTGTGACTACAGACACGGAAAGATCAGTAAGGACGGTTTGCAGTAAAGGTGGATGATGACTGGAGCTTGGATAATGGTGACATAGAAATGAAGAAGGAGTGGTTCAGGATACGTTTTGGAGGTAGAACAGATGAGAACTGCCAGTGGGGAAAAGAAAGGATGACTGCTAAGTTTTTGATTTGAACAGTCAGCTGGAGGGTGTACCATTTTCTGAAACATGGAAGTTGAGTTCAAAATGGGAAGTGGCAAAGGGGAGTGGTGGGTATTTGCCTATGTCCTCTCTCTGGACTGTTTTTCTTCCTCTCTTCACCTAGTTACTCCCTTTCCAATTTTTGGGTCTCAGTTTAAGTGTCATTTTAGCAATGTAGTCCTTTTCCCCAATAGTTCAAAGCAAACTTCTATATTCAGTATATGCTCACTTGGTGTCCTGTACTTTTCCTTTGTTCTTGTGTCACATTGCAAAAGTGGCCCCTAACACGTTGTCTCTATTGTCCCTACTAACAGCCTTCCCACCAGAAGACTTGGGCATGAGACCATCCTAGATCATCCAGCCACCAGGAGACCCACCAGCTCACCAGAAAGGTGTGAAAGAGCCCAGCTGAGCAAACTCAAAAGTAGAACCATCCAACCTACTCACAGTATCCTGAGTTAGCCAAAGGACTGCGGTAAGCAACTAGGTTTTGCAGTGATTTGCTACATAGCAAAGAGTGATACAACAGTTGCAGTCTTACATGTTGCAATCTTACATACATGTATCTGTTTGATTAGTCTGTCCCTTGGGAGGAGACTGTGCGCTCTGTTAAACACTATTCCGGTTTTCAGTTACCACTCAGAGCCAGCATATCTGAAACACATCAGGCATTCAATGGACAACTTGCTGAATGAATGCAGGGGGAGAAGAGAGGCATATTTGTAACAAGAGAGAAAAGTTCTGTAAGAGAGGTAACAAAGGTCTGGGGACATCCGTTTGTCCAAAACAAACTTTTATCAGCACACAATGCTGAGGATTACAAAAGCAATATTACCTTTCCTCTGCGTCCAAGAGCTTCAAGTCTAAACTAGGAGGCAGTACAAAATCAACAGAATATACCGCCTTGGAAGGGGCTCTAACACTGCCTGGAAGATTGAAGTGTCCAAGTTGTCACAGGAGGGTTCTTGAAAGATATAAAGTCAAGATTTAGTCCCTTAGGGTTTACTTGGAAAAGGGGCACAAGCGAAGGCCAAGGACATGGGGTTTCGTTTGTTCAGTTCAGTTCCGTCACTCAGTCATGTCTGACTCTTTGCGACGCCATGGACCGCAGCACACCAGGCCTCCCTGTCCATCACCAACTCCCGGAATCTACCCAAACTCGTGTCCATTGGAATGCCATCCAAGCATCTCATTCTCTGTCGTCCCCTTCTCCTGCCCTCATTCTTTCCCAGCATCAGGGTCTTTTCAGAAGAGTCAGTTATTCGCATCAGGTGGCCAGAGTATTGGAGTTTCAGCTTCAGCATCAGCCCTTCCAGAGAATATTCAGGACTGATCTCCTTTAGGATGGACCGGTTGGATCTCCTTGAAGTCCAAGAGACTCTCAAGAGTCTTCTCCAACACCACAGTTTATCTCGGGGTATATCGCTGAGGTCTGTCTGTCTCCTCATTAAACTCTAAGGCCCTTTAGGGTTGGTGGAGGGTGGTGAGGGACGGATTCTTATCTTCGTATTTGTTATTCCCAGAGTCGAACATTCTCTTTTCCACAAAACGGGAGGTCAGTAAACATTTGCTGAAGAAACGAAAAGGGCGGAAAGCGCTGCTCCTTGCAAGAGCCCGCACTTTCGGCCTCCACACGGAGACTTGGACAAGCCGAGCGCAGGTTCTACGTCTTAGCCGAGACCCGCCCCACCGGCGTTCGGTTCATCTCCCCCTTCGTTGCCGGCTGACCGGCTGTGCTCCCGGCCCAGTGTGCCGGGACAGAGGTGGAAGTTTGGTTGCGCGGCGCCTCAGGAGGGGCAGAGGCCCGGCTGCCACAAACCATCAGCCAACCTGCCAGAGGCTTTCGCCCGCGGGGAACGCCGGGGCGGACGCGGGTGGGCGCGCCCCGCGCGTGCCCGCAACCCCGGCCCCCGGCCCGGCACTGCCGCGGATCCAGCGGGGCCTCTCGGGGCGCCGGCACTGCGGGATGTGCAGACCAGGCCCGGGATGGGGGCCCGGAGGAGACGCAGGGGTGCTTGAAGGTTTGCGTCTGCGAAGCTGCAAACTGCGCCCCCCCCCCGCAGGAAATGTTGGCGTCATCACGTGTAACGCGAAGATGAAGTCATGTCACCTAATCAGATGAGAATGATTTGCTTTTTTGTGTGTCCCCTTTCTCTGTAGGGATGCTCAGACCAGACAACTGCAAGATGCTGTCACCAATGTGGAGAAACATTTCGGAGAGCTGTGCCAGATCTTTGCTGCTTACGTGCGGAAAACCGCCCGACTGCGAGACAAAGCGGACCTCCTGGTGAACGAAATCAACGTGTATGCCTCTACTGAGACCCCGCACTTAAAGCAGGGCCTGAAAAACTTTGCGGACGAGTTTGCCAAACTTCAGGATTATCGACAAGCCGAGGTACGGAGTGAGGTCACAGCGTCCTGTTAATGAGTGAGCCCTGAAGTGGTGGACAGAGGAGCCGTGAAGACGTGTAATCTACCCAACTGCAGTGGCGGGCACACACTTGATGATAACGTGCATTGTCATGTCGGTAGCACTGTGTGAGTCTTATTAAAGGGAAGCTTCTTGTAATTTTTGCCCTTTTCAAACTAACCTCTAGGGTGTCTTGAAGTCATGAATTTCCCCACCTCATTTGCCAGCTTTTAGCCAAAGGGGTGACTGTTTACAGGGGGTAGTAAACATAGTACCCGAGTCAAGAAAAGGAGCTTGGCTTGTGTCTTGTCTGCCGGTAGGTACATTTTAAAGTAGTATATCTGGAGATGGAAGATATTGGGAGTGGTACTGTGAGTGGATAAGTAGTAACTATACAGGAGATCTTTGTTGCTGCTTCCGAGCGCTGGAAGTTGAGTTATGTTTCATTGAGAGGAGGGCAAAAAAAAAAGTGCACTGATTTCTATTACAATCAACAGTGCAACTTTGTGAAGTTCCCCACCCCACCCCGAAAGGACAGGGGTAGAAGATGGTGTTGTAATTGTTTAAATTGTTAAATCCCATTTACTTTTAAAAAATTTATTTATTTATTTATTTTTCCCTGCGCTGGGTCTTCATTGCTCCCTGGGTTTTCTCTAGTTGGGGCCAGGGAGGCTACTCTTCTTGCAGGGCGCGGGCTTCTCATTGCGGTAGCCTCTCTTGTCGCGGCGATGGGGCTCTAGGCCCAAGAGCTTCAGTAATGGTAGCAGGCGGGCTCAATAGTTGGTGGCACATGGGCTTAGTGGCTCCGCTGTGTGTGGGACCTTCCCACCCCAGGGATCGAACCCGTGTCCCCTTCATTAGCGCCTGGACACCTATCTATCCACTGCGCCATCAGGGAAACCCAGCCCATTACTTTAATACCTCGTTTGCACTTTCAGGTATATTTCTTTTAAGGTTCAAGACTCAGGTTGGAAGTTTTCACTTTAACTTTTAACTTGTCAGAAGTTGCCCAGTTTTTGAGCTGTATTGCTTCTTTTGTGCCTTTAAAAGCCTAAAACAAATTTCAATTACCAAAAAAAAAAAAAAACTTGAAGTCAAAAAGAAGATAATGATCCTTGAAGCTATAACTGCTAATGAAACAGAAATTTAAGTAGTAGTTACTTTGGGGGGAAATGGTGGGTTCTTCTCATATGTTTTGTGTGTAATAAACTTTCAGTTACGTGTAACTGGGAACTTGACTGTTTCATAAGTAGTTTATACTCACAGATAATCCTAAAATCCTACTTTAGCCAATAATTTCAGTGCCCCTTTCTAGAAAATCTTTATGCTATTTATCAAATAGCAAAGTGAATTGATTTACATGTGTTCTCCTTTTTATTTCCCTTGCTTACCAAATGGTGGAGGTGCTAAAGAACAATGAACAAAAAAGGTAGGCTACAAAAAGGAGAACAGAAAAAAGATCTAGCTAATCTTTACACTGAATAACCAGTGTATGGATTATTTGAAATGGGATAAATAATCCTGAATATTCATGGATTTGTTTTTAGGATTCCTAATATTTAAATGCTTAGTGAGAACTTGATCTCTATTTTCCTAAAATCTTTTAAAATGAAGTATACATTCTGTTTATAAAAACTAAACAAAAACCATTATAAAGTTATATATACTCACTGATTATAAAAACATGTATCAGCAAAATAAAGCTTTTTTCCTGCTACAAAAGTAATACATGTTCATTTTAAACAATTAAATATATGTCATCTTGTATTACCTATCCTGAAAAAGAAAATTTTAATGTCCAGGAGTTGTTTTTCTTATATTTATATAAAAAGCTATATACTTGCCTTTTAAAAAAATTCATTTCTTTAGTGCCTTCCACTAGTGCTATTAGTAAAAGGAGAAATTACTCAGAATCTGATAAATATTGCAATGTTTAAGAAAACTGTTTAGTTCTACATAAAAGAGAGATTGACCACATAGTTTGACAGCTCAGCAACACTGAGACCATCTATCTTGTTCTTTAAGCTTTGATAATTTACAGATGTCTTCCCATTAAAAAAAAAATTGCAGTTAATACAGTGGTCTCTAGGCTTTTTTTCTTTTGAGGATGCAGTTGTTTTAAATGTTTCCAATATGCTATATTTTTCAGCTTCAATTTCCTTATCTGGAAGGTTGGGCTGTTACGTTTCAGATATAATGTACGTAAAGTATCCATTCAGGTGTTAAACACACTGAAAGTGTAGCCGCAATAAAATTTGAGATCTTAAAACTTAACCAAAGCTACTGCACACTGTCACAGTTTTTAATGTATTTGAGTTTAGATTCTGAGTCTTACCAATTTCCAGAGATTATCCTTTTATTTATAAATGTTGCTGACATTTTAATTTAAAACTGTCAAATATTAATCAGCATTGTGATTATGGTCTGGATAGACAGTGTAGGTTTTATTTCAGAATTTAAATTTTGATATGTCTATGTTTCTTTTCAGTTATATTTTATAATAATTCTCAATAGGTTGAAAGACTTGAAGCCAAAGTAGTTGAACCTTTGAAAGCTTATGGAACCATTGTAAAAATGAAGCGAGTAAGTAAATTCATCTTTTTCTATTATTTTTAGGTATTATGGCAAAACACAAGGTTTCCAATAACTATCCTTTTGAGAAAAGGTACAGAGTAGTGTTCAGTCATTCTTATTACACTGAAGCATTATTTCTTATAACTTTGAGAATAATGAAGCATTTTTATATACTACTATAGCATCATAGCATTATTTTGTTTATTGTGGAAACTTTAAAATATTTAATATTTACAGTCATGAAGAATATATGGACAGAAATTATTTTACTAAATATTCTTATATTTTTGTTTTAAAGCAGGCAATAACATGCAAACTAAAAGTCAGTGTAACACAGCTTTTTTAAAAATTTTTTTCTTGAAGTTCAACATAACGATTTGATGTTTGTATATATTGTGAAATGATTAAACAAGTCTAGTTCGCATCTGTCACAATATATAGTTTAAAAAATCTTTTCCTTGTGATGAGAACTTTTAAGACCTAGTATCCTAACAACTTTCAAAATGCAGTACAGTATTAATTCTAGTCACTATGGTAGATATTACATTCTGAAAGTTCTATATTTAAAATCAATTTTATTGAGGCATAATTTACATGCAGTAAAATTCTGCTGTTTTAAATGTTTTAGTAAATGTGTATACACATGTAACTACCACCACAATCAAACTTTTGTATGTGTGTATATACATATGTGTGTGTATGTGTATATATAATTTTGTGTTGCAATTCTGTCATTCTTTAGTAGGATATTAAATACACACATGCACACAGTCTTACGTACAAAGACACACACTGGTAATGTAATCATTCCAGTGATAGTGATGCCTGAATCAAATAGGGAATGTTTTTGCATTCTAAAACAGAGAAGGGTGTATTTTATTCTTAAATCAGAGATATTTATTAACAAAAAAACTGCCTTTCTGCAGGATGATCTCAAAGCAACATTAACAGCAAGGAATCGAGAAGCTAAACAGTTAACTCAGTTAGAAAGAACACGTCAGAGAAATCCATCTGATCGACATGTTATTGTATCCTTTGAATTTTGGTCTTTAAAAAAATATTTTGTAAGGTATGCTGTACAAAAGTAAATATATATGAAAATTATACATTTATACTTTAAATCTGCAAAGAATATGAATATAAAGTTTGAAAAGAAACATGGGCATTTAAAATGCTTACTGTGGAAATTAGTTAATTTTAAAGAGAGTATACAACCTAAATCAGTCTTCTTGTGTTGTTTTCCACGACAGACATTCCAAATTTAAAACACTTATATGTATAGATGTTTTATAAACAGTACATACAAAATTCTAAGATCTTTTACATAAAAAATGATTGATGACTAAACAAATGATGATGAAATATTATAAAAGTAACTTAAAGATCTGTCATTAATCCTAATATATCAATGCCTTCTCAGCCCTGCATTTGAGGAAAGGAACAAACTGTTTTTTCCCCAAAACTCCCTTCATCTTAGGAAAACAACTACTTTGTGAAACTGCAATTATGACTTCTCGCCAAAGACGCTTAGGATATTCAAGAGTTTTGAGATTCACAGCTGGACACAAGTCTTAATAGGCTTGTCTACTGTTACAGGGCTCTTCTGTTAAGAGCAATTATTTCTTAAACTTAGAATGTGCCTATTCAAAATTAAACAGAAAAAGAAAAATAGCACCTGACTTATTGTAAGCAACTGGGATAAATGCAATTGTAGAGAAAGTACTGGCTGACTGTGGGGCTTCCCTGGTGGCTCAGCTGGTAAAGAATCCGCCTGCAATGCAGGAGACCTGGGTTTGATCCAGGGAACCTGGATTTGTCCCCTGGGTGGGGAGGATTCCCTGGAGAAGGAAAGGCTACCTACTCCAGTATTCTAGCCTGGAGAATTCCATGGACTGTATAGTCCATGGGGTTGCAAAGAGTCAGACGCGACTGAGTGACTTTCACTTCATGTTCAGCTCACCCTGCGGCCTCTCTTCCCCATGCTTGCTTATGTCTCATGATTTTGACAACCTGAGACTAGAAAATAAAGGACAGTCTACATTTAGCTGGAGCTCCAATACTTTGGCCACCTGATGCGAAGAGCTGACTCATTTGAAAAGACCCTGATGCTGGGAAAGATTGAGGGTGGGAGGAGAAGGGGATGACAGAGGATGGGATGGTTGGATGGCATCACCAACTCAATGGACATGAGTTTGAGTTAACTCTGGGAGTTGGTGATGGACAGGGAGTCCGGCGTGCTGCGGTTCATGGGGTCGCAAAGAATCGGACACAACTGAGCTACTGAACTGAACTACATAGAAATGTATCCACTATAAATATAAAAATATTCAGTCATAGCATCAAAGAATATTTACCAGGATGACCCTTAAAATTCATCTCACTATTAATAAGAAACACATTAATGTTCAGTATGTAAAATAAAAGAGGTATAAGAGGCTGGGGTGATGAAGAATCCTAGTGCACTACCTGGACCCCCCACAAGGCCCCTGGTAGCTTCTGAAAAGTTTCCTGCAGCACAATTTGAAAAGCACCAATCTGGCTCACTCTTTTATAGGCCATTTTGCACGCAGACTAATTTCATTAAATACACTGATACCCTATTCATAAAGCATCATAATATTTTAATCAAAAGTATCTCCTACCCAAATTAGTACGTTATATGATTTTGAAGAATTTTCAACAAAGGGAAGGAATACAGATCTGTATCCACTTTCCTAAAAATAGCTGTGTAACTTTGGGCAAGTTGCTATGCTGGAGTGAAAGGATTTGAGACGTCAAGAAATGAAAAATAGTTGCTGGAGGGTGGTAGGAGATTAAGATACAGCTGTCCCAGCTGTGGCTTCTGCTTCCTACTCTTTCCTAGTTTAACCAACTCTACCTACCCTTCCAAATTTTAAACTGTCAAAAAATGGGGAAGGGAAACACATGTCAAAATTAAGTAGTCACGATAAAAATTGCATGAGTCACATGTATTGAACAGTATTAGAAAAATACTCTGCTTGTATATTTTCATTAGTAAAAGGTTAACACACATCATAACATTTAGAAAGTTTTTCATCATCATAAATCCTGTGATAGTTACATTTTAAAAACTCCAAAGCCCAGTAATAAAGGGGACTGTTTTTGATTACTGGTTATGATTAAAAGTTTGCATGTAAAATTATGCAGGAAAACTTTACACCCTTTATAGCAAATGTACACACACAGATATATATGAGTATGTTTTAAAGCTTAGTTTCTTGAAATTGTATATCTGAATTAAGCTAGTTAGTATATAATCAGTATAAGTTATGATGTATAGTCTAATTAGAAGAGGATATAATTCTGTCAGAGCATATGATTTTAATTTATTGGAATAAATTTTTCTACTTGAAATGTATTTTTCCTTTATGAAAAATTTCAGTCACAGGTGGGTAATAAAGTGATGTGTCAAGAAATGGATCCCTGTAGTAAACCCTTTTACTTTATTTCCATTTATACATTTTCTTAAAAAAGAAAGCAAGAGTGTAAATGTTACAATATTATGTGTCACAAAACTTTACTTAAAACGGCAGATTTTTTCTATGCAATAATTATTAAGATGATATGTGATACTTCTGAGTGAACATAATACTAGCATAGGAAACAAAACATTATTAGAACTTAATCAGAAAATTGGGCCATGTTTTTAAAACGTGTTTTATTAGTTCAACAAAAAATTTTAAATATTTTTGGACAACTGCTGTCATTAAGGAAGAAGTGATATTTTAAAGAGAAATATATGCCACTGGCTATATATATGGCTGTTGAGCTCATGAAATGGCAACTAGAATAACCAGCTTTTTAATTAATTTAAATGTAAATAGCTACATGTTGCTAGTGGCCACCATACTGATTGTACAGTGTGAATCTAAACAGTATCAGTACTTTGAAGCAAAGCATTAGACTTTCCATATTATTTATTAGTTATTGGTGTGTATGTATATATATATTTTGTAATAAGCATTAACTAAGTAGTAATAGTGCAATATTACTAGCTTAGAAGAATATTCATACTGAATATAATACTGAATATATACTGAAATAAACATTTGTAGTGTATATTCTTTTTTGTTGTTGTTGTTCAGTCACTCAGTCATGTCCGACTCTTTGTGACCCCATGGACTGCAGCACACCAGGCTTCCCTGTCCTTCACTATCTACTGAAGTTTGATTAGACTCATGTCCATTGAGCCAATGATGCCATCCAACTGTCTCATCCTCTGTCACCCCCTCTCCTCTTGCCCTTAATCTTTGCCAGCATAGGGTCTTTTCCAATCAGGCTGTTCACATCTGGTAGTGAAAGGACTGGAGCTTCAGCATCAGTCCTTCCAATGAATATTCAAGGTTGATTTCGACTGGAGCTTCAGCATCAGTCCTTCCAATGAATATTCAAGGTTGATTTCCTTTAGGATTGACTGGTTTGATCTTGCAGTCCAAGGGACTCTCAAGAGTCTTCTCTAGCACCAAATTTCGATAGCATCAACTCTTTGGTGCTCAGCCTTCTTTATATGTATATTCTCCTGTACCTAATTAGGATATTTCAGCAGTAGAAACATTTCATGCATTTGGAGAACTAGAAGATTGAAAATACTTAAGTCACAGGTCTTTTGGCAGGACAAAGCATTAACGGGGAGAGAGATAGTAAGAGGAAAAGGAGAGCATAATAAATGGCAGAGACTTGAAATATGGGAAAGCAGTAGAAAATATAGAAAATAGTTTTACAGTAAATCAAACAGAGTGATAGCAGGAAAAAGAATGGTTTGTATAAAAGGAAGGAATTTTGTTTTGAGATCATGAATCATATCATCTAATAAATTTAAAGTTTTTTATTCTGTGTTTATTATATAAATCGCTTTATGTGGTAATATGTATTTTTGAGTGATTTACACTGTTATGGCAAAAAGCCAGTATTGCATTTACAAATGCATTTACAGAACTGCATTTATAAAAAGCCAACACTGTATTTACAAAGGTAGCATTTACAGAAGGACTCAATCAAAAGGATTCTGACTTGATTTTTGTTTTTTGTATCTTTGGTTGGGGAATACTTTCGTAGGCAGAAACTGAATTACAAAGAGCTACACTGGATGCTACCCGAACAACTCGTCATCTGGAGGAAACTATTGACAATTTTGAAAAGCAGAAAATAAAGGATATAAAGGTAACAAAATAACTATTAAGGTTCAAAATATGTTTTCTAAATTAATTTTTTATTTAAATTTATGAAAAATTTAAATTACTGATTTTCTTTAGCTCATGGTCTGTGTGAGAAAGATATAAACAAAATATATCAAATGTTATTTTCTTATGGAAACAACAGTATATACAGGTACTACATTCCCAACAGAGGCTAGATATTTAGATGTTATCAAAAATACTATTAACCACAGAAAAATAAAGTCTATTATGTTTTTATGTATCAGGTACTAGTCCACGCACTTTACATAAATTATCTTTTAATCTTTACAGCAACCTCATAGTGTAGCATCTATGTATACTACATACCAGTATCTATCTCATTCCTTTTAATGGTGGAATAATATTCTATTGTATGGATATTACCATGAAAGTGAGGTGGTTAAGAAGAGATATAAGGCAGTATCATAGCCCACAGTTCAAAGTCTGAACTATAAGCCAATTATATATTTTAAAAACCTGTGCTTTCCATTACTATACAGTTTTGTTGCAGTAAGGGGGACCCCTTCCAGGGCCCGAAACTGGGCTCTTGTCTGACTCTCGGAAAAGAACTGTCTGAGGAGACGCATGTGCTGAGAAAGCAAGAGATTTTATTGGAAAGGGCACGCAGGTGGAGAGCAGCAGGGTCAGGGAACCCAGGAGAACTGCTCTGTCACATGGCTTGCATGGGTTTTATGGTGATGGGATTAGTTTCCAGGTTGTCTTTAGCCTTTTATTCTGACTCAGAGTCCTCCCTGGTTGTGCATGCCTTGTTCAGCCAAGATGGGTGCCAGAGAAAAGGATTCTGGGAGGTGGTCGGAGATGTGGTGTCTCCTTTTGACCTTTCCCGAACTCTTCCTGTTGGTAGTGGCTTGTTAGTTCTGTGTTCCTTACCAGGACCTCCTGTAGTAAAACAACTCATGCAAATGATTACTATGGTGCCTAGCCAGGGTGGGCAATTTCAGTCAGTGTGCTTCCCCTAACACTATTACTAATTTTTTGGCTTGTAGCTTTCTAATTCCTACATTATCAAATAAGAGTAGCTAACCACATAAACGTGCATCCACCGTAGTTTAGTGTCACAGGAAGAATAGCCTTATTTTATTGTAACACATCAGTAGACATTCAGGTTCCTGGACTTGAGATGGTATATTTTTAATTGGAGGATAATTGCTTTACAATGTTGTAGTGGTTTCTACCATACAACAATGCAAGTCAGTCATAATTATATGTATATGCCCTCCCTCCAGAACCTCCCTCCCAAATCCCCAAACCTAAAGATGGTCTTCAGTGACTTATTCACCAATATTTTGGAAAGATTTGGAGGATTACTTATGACCATGTTGTGTCCTTTAAAACAAGTCATCTAAGGATGCCTTTTCACTCACTGCAGATTCTTCTGGAACAGCTTTTAAAGAGAAGTATTTTTTGTTATTTTCATAACTTACTAACAAATTATCCTTCTTTCAAAAGTTATGCCCTTATCAATAAAGTCAGCATTATCTGCCACTTAATTGTACCATTCCTGTCTGCAATCAATGAAACATTTATTTGTCCTTTTATGTTTTTTAATTTCCTATCATAGTTTCATAGAATTCCAGAACTTTGATTTTTTCTGATAGCCAGGCTCAAAGGTTTCTACTTTGGTCCTGAAGGTTGAAGAAAAAAAAAAAGTAAGCCTGTCAATTCAGCACTCAGAGTGTAATGTAGATTGCTACCCAGGAAGAGCTCCATAGCAGGCTGGCCTGAGACAACCCTTTTGCCGACATGGGGGAGCACTGGCAGGGCGTAATGTAACTGCCAGCATCCTCTCTTAAATTGAGGGAGAAGGGAAGGAAGGTTGAAATAATTAGCTTTCATCTAAAAAAGATGATTGGAAACTTGTGAGATATGCCTGATTCATTGCCACCTAAGGGCTTCTTTAGTGACCCGGGAGCCCAATTCCTCACCCTACCGCTGTTCTTCATGCCTACACACTACTCTTTTATACCTGGCAATCTTTGTCTCTGATCTTTGGACTCACTTCCATGTGCTGCTTCTTGCATGCTGGCGAACTCTACAGGCGTTTATAATCCCATGAGCACCACCAGTTACAAAATGAGCAGAGACAGTGAGTGTAGAATTCCCGACTGCAGCCTGGATTTCCTGAAGCAGCAGGACAGGGAGTCAGGAACTGCACAGTGGAGGGTGTATGGAGAAAAAACATGCTTCCATGCTTCTCTGCCTGCGGTCTCATGCCCCTAGAAGAGGGAGGTCTTGTGGCGGTCACAAAAACAAAAAAAGAGAAAAAATAGGAGAAAACCTAAAAAAAGCTAGAGAGATTATTCATATACCATACAATTCACCGTACAGCTCAGCAGTTTCTAATATGTTCAGATATCTACAACCATCACCACTCCATTTTAGAACATTCTTATCATCTCAGAGTGAGGCCTAGTACACTTTAGCTTTTACCTCCCTGCTCCCACAGTCCCCACCCGCGGCCTAAGCAACTATCACTAATCTCATGTCTCTTTGGATTTGGCTCTTCTGAATGTACATTTCATATGAATGGAATCATAAAATACATGGTTTTCATAACTGGTTTCTTTCACTTAGCGTGCTTTCAAGGTTTATCTATGGTGTAACATGTATCAATATCTGTCTCATTCCTTTGTATGGTGGAATAATATTCCATTGTATGGATATTACCATATTCTACCTTTTCACTGTCATGATTAATGATATAAACATTCATGTACAAGTTTTTGTTGAGACATACTTCTCTTAGACATTTTTCATTTTAGTTCAACCATATACCCTGTTGAATTGCTGGCTCATAAGGTGACTCTATCTTTAATTATGTGAGAAACTGCCAGACTGTTTGCCAAAGTGGCTATGCCACTGTATTTTCCCACCAGTATTATATGAGGCTTCTGATTTCTCTGCATCCTCCCCAGTACTTGTTGCTCACCAGACTTTTTCATTATAGCCATCCTAGTGAGTGTAGAGTGGTATCTTATTGTGGTTTTGATTTGCATTTTCCTGCTGATGTTTATGGCCATTTGTATATCTTCCTTGAGAAAAAAATGTCTATTCAGATTATTTTAATTGGATTTCTTTTTTATTTCATTTTTAAGAGTTCTTTTTATATTCTGTATGCAAATCCTTTATCAAATGTTTTGCAGTTATTTCCTCCCATTCTGTGAGTTCTTTTCACTATCTTGATGGTATCCCTTGAAGCACAAAGCTTTTTAATTTTGATGAAGTCCAGTTTATCTTTGGGCTTCCCTGATAGCTCAGCTGGCAAAGAATCTGCCTGTAATGCAGGAGACCGTGGTTCAATTCCTGGGTCTGGAAGTTCCCCTGGAGAAGGGAAAGGCTACCCACTCCAGTATTATTGGGTTTCCTTGGTGGCTTATCTGGTAAAGAATCCACCTGCAATGTGGGAGACCTGGGTTCAATCCCTGGGTTGGGAAGATCCCCTGGAGAAGGGAAAGGCTCCCCACTCCAGTACTCTGGCCTGGAGAATTCTGTGGACTGCGTCATTATCTAAGAATCCATTGCCAAATCTGAAATTATAAAGATTTATCCTGGTTTTCTTCTAACACTGTTACAGTTTTCACTATTAAGTCTTTGATCCGTTAATTTTTGTGTATCACGTGAACTGAAAGTTAAACCCCATTCTTTTCCATCTGTCCACGCAGTTGTTCCAGTGATTTGTTGAAGAGACTGTTTTTTAAGTCCTGGCACTCTTGTTGAAAGTTGACATGTTTTGTCTCTGAATTTCCATTCTCTTTTATTGATGTATGGTGGTGGTTTAGTCACTAACACATCTGACTCTTGCAAGCCCATGGACTGTAGCCTACCAAGCTCCTCTGTCCGTGAGATTTCCCAGACAAGAATACTGTAGTAGTTTGCCATTTCCTTCTCCTTATTCCAGTATCATACTGTTTTAACAGTGCTTTGTAATAAGTTTTAAAATCAGGGTGTATAAATTCTCTGTTTTGTTCCTTTTTAAGATTCTTTTGATTATTCTCAATCTGTTGTAGTTTGGTGTGAATTTTGGAATCAGCTTATCAGTTTCCACAAGTCGGCTGGGATCCTGACAGCGTGCGCATGTGCATGCGTGGTCACTCAGTCATGTCCTACTCTCTGCAACCCCATGGACTGTTGCCCGACAGACTCCTCTGCCCATGGGGTTCTCTAGGCAAGAATACTGGAGTGCATAGCCACTCCCTTCTCCAGAGGATTGAACCCAGGTCTCCTGCATTGCAAGCAGATACCATCTGAGCCACCAAATTCAGATAGGGATTGCATCAAATCTGTGGATCAGTTTGGGGAGTAGTGCCTTTTTGGATGAATTCTTCCAATCCATGAACATGGGCTGTTTCTCCATTTAGTTAAAGCATCCTTATTTTAATAATGTATGTTTGTGCTTTTTTAAATGTTTTCCTCAGCATTTCATAATTATCGATGCTACTATAAATGGAATTGTTTACTTCATTTCAGTTGTGCATTTCAAATACACAGAAATACAATTGATTTTTGTGTACTAACCTTGTATCTTGCAACCCTGCAGAACTCTGTTATTAGCTCTGATAGTTTTTTGCATATTCCTTTGGATTTTCTTTTGTGGGGGGGGCTGGTTTCTATATATAAGATCACGTCATCTGTGAAAATGTACACTTTTAATACAAACTCTATCAAAATCCCAGAATTATCAGTTCCAGTAATCAATTCCAGTCTGTTAGGATTATGAATCTCTGATCTCTGTATCTTTCCTCCTTATCTGTCAAACTGTTCCTGTTCAAAGCTAAGCTTCATTTGAGATGTTTTATGACAAAGAAGGATGCACAAATCCTACACCCAAGAGCCTTAAAAATCAAATAAAAAGGGTTACTTTACCACACCCTTATTTCTAATAAAAACAGTATTCAGGTACTGCTATGTTGATGTTAGCATGTCTTACAAACACTTCTATTTGTGAGACAAATTCTTGGAAAAAATCATTGATGCCACTCATATTTTGGGAGAAACGAACAACAAACATTTTTTTTTTTAAGAATGGTCTTATTGTTACCTGTTTTCAGGCTACTGTTGCAGATGGAAGCAGAACTTCTGGGTGCTTAAATCTCCCTGAGAGTAGAAATGATTGACAATAGTGAGCACTGCACATAATGTATTAACTATGAAGTGGGGTTTATCAACAAGTCCATCTGAATTTTAGTAGCAGCATTAATTAGTAAGGTAGCACAATTCTTAGTAAAAGACTTCATTACAAACCTTGCAAAGTGTTTGTCTTTCTGAGAGAAGTTGCTATGAACTTAGTTAGTTGTATAGAATGTGGAAGAAAACTCATAGTTTTATTTCTTTCCCATGTAATAGGAAAAGTCATCAGTTATATGTTGTCAAGGGAATTTTCTGACTTATGAAAAGGATCTTCATCAGGGGTCATTCCAGGGACATATAGGGATAGCAATTCAGTATTGGTAAAGTAGCTGATGTGAACAAGAACATCTTCAAGATTTAGTTTTTATCAGCTTTATTTTTCTTATAAATATAAAATGACCATAAATTTTCATAAAATTATGGAAGAAAACATAATTCCCTACTGAGAAATAATCAGCATCTTGGTTTATATCCTTCCAGACTTTTTTTCTATGAAACATACACAAGAAGTATACTAAGGAGAATGACAACAACCAATATTTCTTAAGACATTAACTATGCTACACATTCTAAGCATTTTATGTGGATAAACTCATTTCCTCCTCACAGTGTCTTAATGAGAAAGGCAATATTATTACCCCTATACAGTTATATTTAAGTGGGACCACACTATATGTAGCATCTCTTTTTAAAATTTAATATATCATGGATATATTTGTGGTAAGAAACAAAGATCCATGTTGTCCTTTTTGGTATCCTTGTATAGTATTTTGCTATACTATATGAGGAATAGTATAGCTACATGGATATATTCATATGTTTAACCATCACCTGTTGGTGGACATCTAGATTATTTTTGCTATTATAGATCTCATTGCATCATTAAACATCCACCCTTTTGCTGGTTCAGTTATTTTGTGGGGGATAAATTACTGGAAGTAGCATTCTTGTTCAAAGAGCATACACACTTTCAATTTGGATAGCTATTTATAACTTCTGTCCACAAATCTTTGACTAGTTTACATTTCTGCAGAACATTACATGAGCACCCAGTGTAACAATGCTGAGTAGTAGTATTTTTAATAGTACCCAGTGTGATAGTGTAAAATCAGTATCATTTTAATTTTCAGTTAGTACTGTTGAGGAAGTGTTTTTTCATATATTTAATGACAATAAATTACTCACTTGACCTTAGCTTATATTTTTAGAGTGTTGGCATTTTTTGTTAATTTTTAAAAACTCTTCAGACTGAGAAAATTAACCTATTATATTAAAGAGAAGGTATGTTGAAATATATTTTCCCATTTTGTTGCTTATGTTTTTGCCACCTTAGTCTTATTTTTTGCTGCCAGATCTATTGGTCTTCTCTTTCTGCCTTGATGTTGTATTTAGAAAGGAGTATTCATCGATTATATAACTATTTGCTGTATTTTCTTCTAGTCTTCGTATGATTTTTTAGTATTTTAAATATTTAAATGTCTAAATTTATTATTTTCAAATGAATAGAAAGTTCTCCTGAAATCATTTATTGAATAGCCTTTACTCTAGAGAGCTGTCATTTTACCTTTATTTGCAAAAACTGTTAACAAGACCTTTAATGACTTTTTTGTTAAATATTCTGCTTTCCAATTAAACCAGGATGGAGATTTTAATGTTACATAAGGAATAATTTCTAATTTATCTGGCTTAACTTCTTTAGCAATAAAATTAGCTAATTTGTGCTGAGCACTTACTCTAAGCCAGTAACCATACTATACTTTTGATTACATTTAACCTTTAAAGCAAAACCTATGGTTTTGAAATTAAGGAAAAAGAACAGATAAAGTGCTTAATATTACACAGCTGATTTGTTTCAGTCTTGATTTGAACTCTTGCTAAGTCACTTCAGTCGTGTTCGACTCTTTGCTACCCCATGGACCTTGCTCGCCAGGTCCGTGGGATTCTCCAGGCAAGAGCACTGGAGTGGATGCCCTCCTCCATGGGATCTTCCCTACCCAGGGATTGAACCTGCGTCTCTTATGTTTTCTGCATTAGCAGTTAGGTTCTTTACCACTAACGCCATCTAGGAACCCCTGATTTGAAATCAGGTTAATCTTAATCCAGAGCCCGTATTTTTAACTGCTGTGCCACCTGCTTTACTGAGTACTTGCCAATGAGTAGAGAATTCCATTAGCTCCCCCATCCCCCACCGATAAAACTGAAGTACCCACCCAAATGGCCTGTAGTCAAACAAAACTGAAAAGGGGGTAAACGAAACTCCTTGTATGCCTGTCTCTTACCATATTGACCCATTCCAGATTAGCAGATTACATGTGATCATTGAAAGATGTATTTATTTGAGAAAAATTATTTCTAAATATGATACTACAAGATAGCTGTATGGCTGTCTTCCAGGGTGCAGGACCACTCCTATCTGGGTGGTTAAGACAGGAGAGCAGAAATGAAGGAAAATGAGTATTTGACTATTGCCTTTGAGCCTAACCCATTTCATCTATACTGCCCCTTTAAGGACAGTGCTTGAGTATTTTCTATCCTATTCTTACTCTCTCCACTGCTCTCTATGTTAATGCTCCGATTTTTTTATCTTGATAGACAAAATGATAGAAGGATGAGACCCTTTTTTATTGAAAACGTATCTGGCTTACATACTTTCTGCCTACCAGTTCTTCTCCCACCCTGCTTAGATCAAGGTGCACACCCTTATTCATTCTCTTTTCTCATAGCCTTCCTGACCAAAAGTTGTCGTCATCTTGCTTATAAGAGTTTACCTGAGATACTCAGATGAATTGGAAAAAAAAAAAAAAAAAAGAGTTTACCTGCAGTGTATTTGCAAAGGAAATAATTGAGTCCAGTGAGAACAGCACAGTACAATGAGCAGGAGCTATAACCTTGAAGAATCAGACCCAAGTCTTAACATTGTTAACTATTAGCAATGCTGAGCATGTCATATATTTGTAAACTGGAAAGCTCCATGCAAATGTATTGTGCTGTTATCAGGAGTAGGAATTGTGGCTGGAGAATACAAGCAACATATAATATGTTGGGATGGAATTCTTGCCTAAAAACATCCCTTTAAACACCAGTTGGAGTTGCTAAAAAAAAAAAAAAAAAAAGCATCAGAACTGAACTTCTTTAGCTAGTATTTATAGGCATTGATAACAGAGTACATAGTGACAAACATTTTAGTGATGTGTAATGACAGTCATCTTTTTTAAACAAATGTCTAATAGAACATACTTAAAAACGGAAGTAAATAATAAGATACTAAATATTTTGTGTAATTTGAAAGTTTTGCTGCAGAAGATATCTGCAACTATTTTTATTCCAGTTATCATTTGTACTTCATTTTCCCTGTTGAAAAACCTCTGTACTGAATAAAATGTCAAGACTATAGTAGAGAATAACTCTACTAAATTCATGAAGCAATTTGTTTAAATTCAAATCCTTGTTTTTTCAGACTATATTTTCAGAATTTATCACTATTGAAATGTTATTTCACGGCAAAGCTTTAGAGGTCTACACTGCTGCCTACCAAAATATACAAAAGATTGATGAAGAAGAAGATTTAGAGGTAGGACTATGTCTATCTAAGCTCAGTTCTTCTATTGATATGGAAATATTTAAAAGAAACCATTACAGTTTGGGTAAAAATATCTTAAATTACAACACTACGTGGTTTAGATGTCATTGTATGCAGTTCCAAATAGCTGAACCTTTATGACTTTCTAGTTAACTTTTCAAATTAACCATGGTTAAGTTCAAAGGATTAATATCTAGTAAAACATAGAAACAAAGCCATAATGTGAAATAAGGTATCATTTTGACTAGTGGTGTAAGTCACTTATGTGTGTTAAAAATACTATTTATTGATTTAAGCCAAAATTTGAGTATTTATGCCACGCACAACATTGAAAGCTTTACATTTTCTCACTCACTCCTGTAACTCAGGTGCTGTGATGATTCATTTACAACTAAAGAAAGCAGGTGTAGAGGCTTTAAGTAACTTAACTTGCCCTTGACCACTTAGCTAGTAAAAGAGCAGAATCTGTTTCTAACTAGTTTTGTGAGACTTAATCTGTAAGCTATGAAATAAGTGTAGATTGTATACAGGTGGGGAGGGGGGATGGCTGTGTGTGTGTTTCAGTCAGTCATGTCTGACTCTCTGACCCCATGGACCGTAGCCTGCCAGGCTCCTATGTATGGGATTCTCCAGGCAATACTGGTTCTCCAGGCTTGCTTTGTATTGATAGTTAAATGCAAATATTAACTCTTAAATATTCAAGATGTATTTTGTCCATATATCTCTACAGTAGAAGTGAGAACAGCCATGTATTCTCAAGATATAGCCAAAATTTTTTAATTATATAAGTTAATTCCATAATTTTCAAGGATCCATTTATTTTTTTAAGTAAAATATCTATCAAGATTCCCCAAGGCTTCACTTCCCACTACTCCACTGGTTTCAAGAAACATGAATTCAGTAAAACCAGACTATACAGCTTGGCCAAAATGAAGAGAAGTACATGTTTTAGTATGTTTTCCAATGCCAAAATCTGATCTTTTACCTCAGTAAAGCATACACAATCATATTTCTATTTGTTAATAGAATGGTTTCTATTCCCTCCAAATACTAAAGCTAAGGTTTCTTAATTTTCACTCATTTTTACATCCTTTTAAAAAAATAACCATCAAGCTTTTAACTGTAATTTATAAAACAGCAAATGTTTATACAGTGATTAACCAGCTACTGACCTGTGCATTTTCACTGTATTATTTTAATCCTACCATGAATTTTAATAAAAGTACTTACTGTCCTCATTTCTACGGATGAAAAAACTGAGGCATAGTGAGGTTAAGGAACTTTCCAGAGGATCCCATAGCTAGTAACATAGCCGTAAGCCAAACAGTAGTCTGACTACAGACACTGTTTTTATCCTATCTACACTGCCAGAAGCATGGTTCTTGGTGAGTGACATGAACTGTTTCCTGCAAGAAACAACACTGCATTGAGTGGCAGGTTTAAAATTGATCCCCCACTTTGGCTATAAGGTTGAAGTTCCCATTACAAGTATTTTCATTCTCCATTTTCTAACACCCTTGACTTAATGTACTTTCAAGTTCCTCAAGCCCTCTGGACCCAAAGATTTTCTTTCTTGTTCCATAGGTCCTAGGTATCTTCTTTTGTCACAGCACTTCCTTTACCACTTCTCTTAACACTGCTCTTTATCAGCTAGCTAGGTAGCTTGTAGGAGAGGTCCATACACGCAAAATCTCAGTGCTGTCTAGATGTGTTTTTGAGTATCAACTTCCCCACTTTTTCTGATGGGGCACTATTGAGCAAGTTAATTTCTTCACACTTCATTGCTTATCTCTAAAATGGAGATACTTATGTACATTCATTAGCTGTTTACTGAGCATCTGTTATATGCCAGACACTGTTCTGAGTGCTGAGGATTCAGCACTATAGCGTTGGTCCAAGTAGTCAAAAAGCAGAAACTTAAAAAAGAGTTCAGGTGTTAAAAAAAAGATACATTTCATAATATGAAGGAAAAAATATAGATAACATACTGTTGTGCGAATGAGTGTATGTGATGGAGGATCCTAGATAGTCTGGAGAATCAAAGAATGATTTCTTATTCAGAAGTTTGAGGGGTATGTCGAATCCCTGTCTACAGTATCAGGCAGAGTACAGATAGTTATACAAACATCCTGAGGTATAATGCATTATGATGCCGTAACTTATGGAAAGGAGAGGAAAGCAGTTTGGGGAAAAGTTGTGTGGGACAAGCCAAAGTAAAATTACATCAGCAACCAAGGAGAGGAAAGGACCCTTTAAACTTTAAATACAGTTTCTTGGAAACAAGTAGAGAAAAGATGCAGAGAGGGACAGAGAAATAATTTCATATTCTTAGGTTCTAGTCCTTACTACATGAGAATTGCTGATTTATTGAGACAGCAGCTAGTTTTTTGCATCCAGTTACATCAGAAACCACCTTACCTGATTTGTTCTTAACATTAAAAGTGCTATCATATTCCCCTTCAAAAGATCACCTCTGTACATTCAGTTCAGAGCATATTCGGATCTTGAGACTCACTCCTAGAAAAGATCTTGGACCATATATTGGAAAATGCAGTATTGCCAATAAATATCCCTATAAATATGTTCTTTTACAGTAAATTAATATTTAACTGGTTTAGACTTTTATCCCAAGGGTGATATATTATCTTCCATTTCCCACTTTTATCTTTGCTAGAAAACCCAAAGAAAAGAATGTTGTTTTAACAAAAATGTATTTCTCCCAAATACCAGTGACTTCAGTCATCCACTTTTGATATCATAACAGGATGCCAGGGTCCATGTCTAGCACCAAAATATAATTGGGTCTTCAGTAAAACTCTTAAATAATTATCAGTATGCTTGGATTGCCCTAAAACACATCTTAGCTCTTTTGTTAAGTTTTATCCCTTGATTGCTTTTATGTGCTGTACTTCTTTAATGTTAAAAAAAAGCAGAAAAAAGAGCAAGTTTTTGTTTGTTGGTCTGAAGTTTTAGCTAAGGTGAAGATGCACTGTGGAGACTCAGTGATACCTGCTTTAAAAAAGCAAAGAGAGCATGACAAGTTGAGGGGGAAATGAGGGCATATGAAGAAATTCACATCTGATAGACGTGCCTGTTTTACGTTACAAAGTGGTGGTGTAAAAGATAAATAAGGAGGCTTAAGAGTGCAGTTAATACTTGGAACTACTGCTTTAAGGAAAAAGAACTAACAAGCAATGACATTTCAGATGCTACTGACATTGGCATTTCATAGAATGGCTCCATTTACTCTTCTGTGATATATTGGGAAAGCACTGTAGTGAATTTAAACTGGTAAGAGTTGAGGATAGGCAGAACAGAAAGAATCAAAGGTGACTTACTGTCTCATTGGGTTGCATACTCTTTGAAGGTAGGAACTTTTCACGTTTCACCAGCAAAAGCTCTTAAGTGACTGTTTCAGGACCCGTCATTTTACATGGTTCAGTAGAATTTTTTAGCTTACATCTTTTCAACGTAAAATATTTCTTAAATTTTTGTTTTAAATTGGCAATAAATAATGTCCCCGGGGCAGGGTGGGGGAGGGGAGTTGCTTCAACAAATTCTTCACTAAAGGGAACATGACTTTCTAGATTTCCAGTTTAGTATCTAGTTTATAACATTGTTTTATCATTGCAACAGGTTTTCCGACATTCTCTGTATCCCCAAGATTATCCATCCCGTTTAGATATTGTAAGAGCAAATTCGAAGTCACCTCTTCAAAGATCATTGTCAGCTAAGTGTGTATCTGGAACAGGACAGGTGAGCTAGAAACCATAATTTTAAGGAATGTAAGCTACTGCCTTTTGTTCAGTATTAAAAATGTTCTCCTTAAATCATAGGATCTTGAATAACCTGCTCTTCCCCTCTTACATATAAAATGTGAAACTGCACTAGGTTCTGCTTTATTATTGATACTTCTTTCCTGTGAGATATATGACTCTCTGAAGCAGAACATTCAGTAGCAAGGTAGAATGGGCAGGAGAATGCTAATTTACATTTGTTCTCTGGTATAATGTGAAGATTCTGAAATCAAACTGCCTAGGGTTTAAATCCCACTAGCATGGCTTACTGGAAATTATATCTAGAAAGGACCTTTCCTGAATGTTACCATAGATCTAGAAGCACATATCTTTAGGCAAAGCATCAATTTTCTCTTTTCTTCTTCTATATCCAGAAAGCCTGAGTTACCTGGTATCTAGAGTAGGCGATATCCCTTTTTCCTGGGGAGCCAGAGAGAAAATACCAGGTTATGTGGACCACATGGTCTCTGCCCCAACCAAGAGCAGCCACAAGCAATACATTAACAAATCAACATGTTGTAATAAAATTTTATTTACAGAAACAAGACAAACTGGGCTTTAGCTTGCCAACTTCTGATTTAGAAAGCTATGGTTTTTTTCGTTATCTAGCCTTCAGAATTTAAAATTGAGCATTCAGTTGTATGTGACCAAATACCTTCTGTTCTCATTTATATCTTCTAAGCACTTATGCATCTCTCCCCCTAACCAAATTATAGTTTTATTATTCCAATACTAAATAAATTCCATAAATCTGTAGTATATAGTACGTAGAGAATTTTGACTATTTAGAGCTAATAGTATCACCTCAGTTAGCGAAGATCTGTGTAGCACTTTAGACTACATAATGCCAAGGTTTCTCAGCCTCAGCACTGTCAACTTTGAGCCAGATGATTTGGGGGGCGGGGGGGCAGGGGTGTGGTATCTTGTCCTGTGCATTGGACAGATGCTGAGCAGCATTCCCAGCCTCTACCTACAGGAGCTCTGTAATGCCCTTACCCTCCCCCAGAAGTGACAATCAAGTGTCTCCAGACATTGCAGATGTGCCCTGGGAGGTATAGTCACCCTCTGAAAAGTCTGAAGCAGGATGACCCAAGTGGCAACAGTCAGAAATGAAAGCCAAGTCGTGAATTCAGATTCTCATCTCATTAATTTTAAATCACACTATGTTCAAAGTTTAATATTTTTGCCTAGTTGAAATATCCTTTTGTTCTGCCATCCCTTTGATGATTCTCATGTTTTTGTAACCTAAGAATTATTTAACTTAAAATTTTTTTAATATTTTATAATGTACTTTTCTCTGGAAGTATGTTATCAAAGTACTGATATCCAATTGCAGTTCAAATGGCTAATTTCACACTTTTGTTCTTGAAAAAATTTTGTGATTGTTTTCAAACCTTTAAATACAATTCATAATTTAGAATTTTCATTACTAAATATTATTTGTGGACATTTTTCTGATATTTGTTCTGTGTGCCCTTATCTAACTATCAGGGCATAAAAAAGATATTTTTAAGTTAATGATTTTTAAAACATGTTAACTTTTAACAGGTATTGACCTGTCGACTAAGAAAGGATCAGCAAACAGAAGAAGATGATGAAGAGGATGAAGACTTAGATGTTACAGAAGAATTCAGTATATAAATTTACTTTTCAACAAGAGTATTATAGTCACTCTCAAATAATAGGAATAGGGCACTATCAGTGTTTTACAACTATACATAAGCATAAATTTTAGCTTTAAAAAGCTACATTCAGCTTGATTCTGGTTTTAAAACAAAACCACTGTCAAACTAAAGCACTATATATGGCACCACAACTTTTGGAAAGCTAGAATTTGTTGGAATGTTTCCCTTAAAAAATATAGCAAATCATAAATCAGTAAAAAGTTATATATTTTATCAGCCTACCATATAATCAATAAGAGTACACAGTCACTCGCTTTCTTGAAAATAGAAAACAATTTAATCAAAGCCTTTCAGTATATCTCATGCTTTTATTTCTTTGGATGGAGAACTGTACTTATTATTTCATAGATCCCAGTCTGGCATATAAAAATTAGGAAACTGATATTATCTGGGATTACCACAAAAAGCAGTTATTCATAACAAAAATACTTTTCTAGAATGCTTTTTTGACTTTTGAAATTATTTGTGATCTGTTCTTAAAGCATTGCTTCCTGAAAATAGTCCTAAGTGATAGTTACTTAAGTAAATAAAATATTCAAAACATTTAAAAACTGTAAATAAATATCCCAGGTGGTGGTAGTGGTAAAGAACCCACCTGCCAATGTAAGAGATGGGAGAGAGGTTGATTTGACCCCTGGATTGGGAAGATGTCCTGAAGGGCATGGCCACCCACTCCAGTACTCTTGCCTGGAGAACCCAATGGACAGAGGAGCCTGAAGGGCTGCAGTCCACAGCATCACAAAGAGTCGGACACAACTAAAGTGACTTAGCACACAGCATGCACAAATAAATTTACGTTCATAAAAACTGAGGCTGTCACTGCATTTTCTCAGTATTTAACCTTGGTATTGTAGCTTGGTGAAAAAAACAAGGTTATTGTATTTCTCTTGCAGATTCTGATCACAACTCACTTCTCTTGAGCATCAGTTGCCCTATTTGTAAAATTAAAATAGTGCCTGATATTTAAAGCAATCAAATTATGATATAAAACATATGCTCTATTTAAAAAATATTCTAAGGACAAAAGGATTATTACACATAGTACTTTCACATATAATTAATTTTTAGGCCAGCAACAGGTTGGCAAACCTGAAAGGGTTGCTGTTTACTCGCTAAGTTGTGTCCAGCCTTTGTGACCTCATGGACTGGAGCCCACCAGGGCTCTCTGTCCATGGGATTTCCCAGGCAAGAATACTGGGAACGGATTGCCATTGCCTTCAAGGAATCTGCGTGGCCCAGGGATCGGACCCGTATCTCTTGCATTCAGAGGCAGGTTCTTTACCACTAAAGCCACAAGGTAAGGTCTTAAAAGGGTTATAAAGTAACTATTTCTACAGTTGTTGAGCTGAGACAAAATCAAGGCTATTACATACTTAGGTAACCATACTTTAAAATATAAAAACCTTTTTAGCTTCCTTATAAAAAGACAGGCAACCAGTCTGAGTAGTTGGTTGGCTACAGGCTTCCATTTGTCTCCAAAATAGGTATATTAGGGTTATTGAAACTATACAGTTAATTCATATATAAAGATCATATAGTACCTATTACAGTTCACTAAATATTAGCTAACATTTAATGCAGAGATGGAGGTGATAGGGTCACTGCTTAATAGGTGATATATGGACCAAGAGCCAATACTCATGACAGTATTGTCATTAAGTGTGCTAAGTGTGCACTCCTAAGGAGTCTTACTATCTCTTGGTTATGAGATTAAGCTTACTTTCTAGGCATTATCTATATTTTTCAGATGCCTCAAGTCAAAAATGTTTGGCTTTAAGATAATTAAAATGCCACTGGATATTAAACTTAATAAACAATATGCCACTAAAATACCTAATAAATCTAGGAGAGGAAACACAACTGGCTATGAGATAATTATTGAAGCTGGGCAATGGGTTTATGAGGATTTAGTGCTCTTTTACATGTTTGAAATTGGTGGTGTGTTGGTAAACTGGCTCACTGAGGTGGAAAATGCCCTGATATTCTGCACTTACCAGTTTCCATGGTATAAATAACTCCTATCATGGCCAATTTAAGTTACCAACATGTCAGTGAAGGCAAAGTCGTGAACAGATGTGCAGAAATGGCTCCCAAGCAGTAGAAGCCAGTTTTCTGTAGCAAACTTTAAAAAGTTAAAAAACATATTAAACTGAAGATCATGGAGTAGAATTCTTATCAATCCAGTAATTTTACAATCAAAATACGAAGCCTGTGCTTACTATTGTGATAGCCTTTTAATTACCACCACCATTCCATCCTAGCCTAGACTGAGAAGCAGTTCCATATTAAGTTATACTTCACCTTAAGCTTCATCATAGCTTTCATTTATTTATATGTATTTGAGAAGCATTTTTAGGTCTTCCAATACACTTGTCAGTTAAGAGTGATCAAATAAACCATACAATCTCTGAGCACTTAAAAAATCTTTTCTTCCTATTGTCATTTTCCTAGCTTGTAAGCTTACTAGTTTCAAGTGCCATACTGATGTACTTTTCTGAACCAAATTTACCAGTTAATTCATTTTACTAGCAAGTAGGATGTTCAACATAATTAAAAACACAGAAACTTCGGTTGGTTTTTCTTAGACTTCTTTATATCACTAAAGATGAGTACTACAGTACTAAATGGCTAAATACTGAAAAGTAGTCTACAATACCCTCCAAACTACTGTATATAAATTCAAATTTTATTATTTGTTCAGTGTGGCAAATATCTATCACAAAATTGAGGGAAATAAACTTTTATGTAAATTATAAAAGACCAACCAAAATCAAACCATGTTTGATAAAATGAACAATTTTAAATTAGAAGCCAATATATATTGTCTGTCTCATAGAGAATCCCTGGATATATAATAACTTCTAATAACTTTGTCTTTTATTCATGATGTTTGGGCATATTAATTTCATCTTTTTTAATGCTATTTTTAAAGCAATAATGGAGGTAAGAAAATATCCTTTACTGTTTTGAAAATATTTTTAGCATGGTCTTCTTTAGTCACTTAAGTCATGTCAGATTCTTTTGTGACCCCATGGACACAGCCTGCCAGGTTCCTCTGTCCGTGGGATTTCCCAGGCAAGAATCATGGAGTAGGTTGCCATTTCCTTCTCAAGGGAATCTTCCAGACCCACGATTGAACCCATGTCTCCTGCACTGGCAGGCAGGTTCTTCACCATTGAGCCACCAAGAAAGCCCAGCATGGTCTTACTAAAATTAAAAACTACCATTTAACAAAGTTAGTAGGCCAAAGTATTAACAGCGTGAACTAGAGTGAGTAAGTCTGGTTGAAACTGGCTTTATAATTTACAACTATGATTTTAGGCAAGTTACTTAAACTCTGAATTTATCTCATTTGTGAATTAAATACTTGTCAGCCTCTTAGGGAATATTAAGATTGACATTATGCATGTAAAGCACTTACACTGCCTAGCACATAGAAAGTGCCCAATGTTAGCATTATTATTATGGTATGAAAAATCAAATCCAGTATTTGCAAAATTTCTACAGTGTCAAATATCAAAGAAGTAAAAATTCAATCTCACAAAATTCTTGTTACAGTTAGTCACTGAATCTTCGGATAAAAAAGTTTTGAAATTAAGAATAAAAAACCACAAGTTATATAAATCATCAGTAAATTCTTCCTATAAACACAAACTATGTCCATTTATCAGATACGTCACAACAAGAACCTGAAGGTCCCCTTGTACCTATAATTACTTTTTTGTCTTTTAAGTACTGAGCAAATCTTACCAGTTTTGTTGATGAGATGTTGGAAGAAACCACAGAACTACACAAAGAACTCATATACTATTATAGAATATGTGGTCCCTCCTGTCATATTATTTAATATAGCTGTTGAAAACCTTCACAAAAGGAGCTGTAATTCTTTCTTCTCTATATACAAATACAAGTTAATTAGTTCATCTATTCAGTTGCAATTTTTTTATTTTTATAAAAACTTTGAAAGTTAATTTCCTAAGCCTTTTACATAAGTAAACTTCAAGTTCACAGTCTGTCAATTTTGAACTATTTATGATTAAGGAGAGGCTTAACACAGTAATATCTCAGACAAGGAAGAGGGCATTAATTCTGCAGGCAGTTAGCAATAAAAATGCTAACCCTGAACAGTCAGTCACTGACCATTTCCTTATACAATATGAGCAGAGATGTAGACTACAGAATGGAAACAAAAGTAAACATAAAACTTGTCTTCCCCAAACAGTTTTCTACTTTATACAAGTCTTGACATTTACCCATGACATCAACAAAAATTACTGCACTCAGGGAATTAGTTCTCCCCCCAGCCCACCCCACCCCACCCCCATCAAAAAAAAAAAGCATATATATTTTTAAGTTAGAAAAAATGAATGGCAATTTGCAAGCAAAAGAAAACCAGATTCACATTCTATTTACATTTCTTCTGTTCACAGGTCAAAATGTTTCTTTTCATTAGATAATTAAAAATAAACACTTAAAAATGCATTTTACTGCATCAATACTGTGGGGAGATAATTCTGAATTTAGAAATGCTCTCTAGAGCAAAATTAACTTAACCTTGCGGGGGCCAACCGGTCTATCATTCAGATCTTTAATAGCAGCCATAGCTTCATTGTAGTTTATCATGGCAACAATGGCTTCCCCTGTAGGTAATCCTTGCTCATTATACTGTATTGAAACTGAATCAGGTATGATTCTATAACCATGGAAAAAGTCTAAAATCTCATTAACATTAGCTTTAAATGGAAGATTCATTATCTTAATAGGTGTTACTCTACCTGAATTACAATTTAATTTTGGATCAGGCATAAATCTCCCCTCAGGAAAACTTCCCATATTACGCTTTCCAAAATCAAATTTGCCACCTTCTGGGCGACCAAAATTCACAAAAGGACGATGACTTCTAAAATCAGGGGGGCTTCTAAACTCCTCACCAGGAAGTCTAAAACTGTCAGGAACTCTGGAGTCCTCCTCTGGAGCTTCCCTGAGGTCTTCCTCCGGGAGCCGCCTGAAGTCCTCATCAGAAGGGCTTCTAAAATCTTCCTCCTGAGAACTCCTGAAGTCCTCTTCAGGAGGGTGCCTAAAGTCTTCGTCCGGAGGGCCCCTGAAATCTTCATCCTGTGGGTGCCTAAAATCTTCCTCTCGAGGGCGCCTGAAATGTTCCTGGGGTGGCCGCCTGAAAAGTTCCTGAGGCGGTCGTCTAAAATGCTCCTGGGATGGCCGCCTGAAGTGCTCCTGTGGTGGCCGCCGGAAATGCTCCTGAGGTGGTCGTCGAAAATGCTCCGGGGGCGGCCGACGGAAGTGCTCCGGGGGCGGCCGTCGGAAGTGCTCTGGGGGCGGCCGCCGGAAGTGCTCCGGGGGCGGCCGCCTGAAGTTGTCGGGAGAACCTCGGAGATCCTCCTCAGGAGACCGCCTGAAGTCATCCTCATGGGGCCGCCTGAAGTCCTCCTGGTGGGGTCGCCGGAAGTCCTCCTCAGGAGGTCGCCTGAAATCCTCCTCCAGGGGCCGCCTAAAGTCTTCCTCAGGTTGTCGCCTCCATTCCCCTGGGGGAAGTCGTCTGAAGTCTTCCTCAGGAGGCCGCCTCCAATCCTCCTCAGGTGGCCTCCTCAAGTCTCCCTCTGGGGGCCGCCTCCAGTCCTCCTCCTGGGGTCTCCTGAAATCTTCCTTGGGAGGTCGCCTGAAATCCTCCTCAGGTGGCCGCCTCCAGTCCTCCTCCCTTGGGTACCGGAAATCTTCCTCCCAAGAGTGCCTGAAGTCCTCCTCAGGAGGCCGCCTGAAGTGTTCCTCCCGAAGGCGCCTGAAGTTTTCCGGGGACCGCCTGAAATCCTCTGGGGAATGCCTAAAGTCTTCTGGAGGGCGTCTATCAGGTGGTCGGAAATCCCCCTGAGGATGCTTGAAATTGTCCAGTTGCCTCAAGTCCTCTTGCTGATGCCTAAAGTTTTCCGAAGGGCCAACTGCGTATATTGGTGGATCATTTGAGTCAAATGAATGGGAATGATCATCTCTATCACAAGACTGTGAATGGTCATGCATTCTTTCACTAGACATTGAAGAAAAATTTACACCAAACTCCTGCATTTGTGCCTCAGATATGAGCCTCAACAACACCTCTGTCCCCAAGAATCTCCGTCGGTTTAAACGTTCAGCTTTCACAGCCTGTTCTTCTGATTTGAATTTCACCAACGCTTCTCCTAGACCAACTCCTTTGTCATCATAAAGCAAGCAAATGTCATCCTCAGCAAGAGAAAAGTCAGCAAAGAACTTCTGCACTTCAACTTTTGTAACATCAAATGGAAAATTTCTTATATATATGCACAGTTTCTGGCCAGAGTAGCCTTCTTGAGAATGTTTTTGTGAGACCTGTCCAAGTCTCTCTTTCTCTGCTGATGCTGGTCTTTTCTTTTCATAACACTCAATGAACTTCAGCATCTGTTCCCTAGAAACTGGATCAATATAAACTGGACGATATTGTAGAACAGTCTTATGTAAACCCAGAGCAGTGTTATAGTCTTTCAGCGTCTTGAACATCACAAAGGCATATCTTGTTCTTCTTTCATCTTTATATAAAAACCTAATCTGTTCATTTGTCAGATCAGTATCTCTAAAAAAATTTCTTAAGTCTCTTTTGTTGATACTTACAGACAGATTTTTTAAGTGAACATAAAATCCGAGAGGAGAACGAGAACACGTTCTTCTGGGAGATTTTGAATGAGACCGTTTCCGAAAATGTCTATCATTAATTCCTCTTGGTGGTGTATGTTCTTCAGTCCTCATAGAAGTCTCACCTTCCTTAATTAAATTACCTCCAAAATCAATCCACTGTTGTTCTGAGCCTTGCATTACTTCAATAAATCTTGAACCCATAAAACTTCTATGACATTTAAGACCTCCTGAAGCATCAATACATGAGGCAAACTTTACTATGGCATCACCATTATTTCGGCCATCATGATGCTTTAAGAAAATTACTCCATCCACACATAAACCAGAGAAAAAGACACGTACATCATCTTCATTTACTAAGTAAGGCAAGCCTCGTAGAAACAAGTAAGGATTCTCAGCTTTCAACGGCCGTGTCTTTCTTGGCCTTAAATCACCATGTCCTGTACCATTAGTATGAAACCCAGGATCTTGATTAATCGGAGAACCATATCCAGAATTACTTCCTTCTTCTTTAATAGCCTCAACAAAATTAGATAAGCTGCCAACCCCTGATGCCCCAGATCCTGGTCTCTCTCTTCCCACGCGGTCAGTTCTTTTCATTTCTATAGTCTTCTGCATTTCTGCCTTACTACTAAGAAAGAGCTCTACAGATGAATCCTTGATAAACCCTCCTGAACGACTTACAGCACGTCTTGCATCTTCATCTGTTGCAAAAATAATAAAAGCCTCCCCAATTTCCCCTCCAATTATATGCACTCCTCCATCAGGAATAGTCAATCCCGTGAAGAAGTGACGGATATCCACAGGCCCCGCAATAAAAGGAAGCCCCAGTAAACGGATGACTACAGCCATGCTGAGCGCAAACCACAGCAATAATGACCTGCAGATAGAAAGGTACACATAATAGCAAGTCTTATTTTTGAAGTACCTAATCCAAAACTAAGCTTAATAATTACTGGTCCCTACCTTCTTCAGCATTTATAAATGAAAACAAGATATGAGTTCACAAAGATATTGATTGTATCTAATTCTATAACAAATGGAATAAATTTTCTCTCAACTAAACAAATAAACCAGCTACTTTGAAGAAACATTTCCTATCACCTATCCTATACAGTGTGAGTAGAAAAAAATGTCACATCTCTGAAAGTCTGCCAAGTGCTACTTCACAACAAGACCAAACTATTTTCAGACAGATCTGCTAGTGAAACATGAGAGCTTTGTAGATTAAAGAATTTTACCAACCACAACAAATTTTACATACTTATAAAAGCCATCTATGGACAGTATATAATTTCTGCTCATGATAACAAACTGCCTACCACTAGTGCATCACTGGCCAGACATAAAGTACAGAAGCCATGCATACCCAGGTGTACTATTCTAATTTTGTTTTTTGTCAAGCCTCTGTGAAAAGCCTTAAGCTCTGGATATCTTACCTTTTTATTTCTTGCAGACCTGTTAATTCTGTAAAAGCAACTTAACTGTGGAAAGAAAATGAAATATAATTAATCCTTGGACCCTGTAATTGACCTTAATGCCAGAATTAGGATATTCACTTCACAATTACCTATTAAAAGTGAAGCAATATAAGGAGGCATAACTAAGGGTATTACAAAATGGTTGTCTTTGTTCCAAGGGGAAAATTAATTATCTTTTAGCAAAAAGGTAGAAATTCCAAGGAGACACCTGCAAATTATTTAGAAACAAAAAATCTGAAAACTTAACAACTGGTCCTTAATTGAAAGTGGCCCCAGAAAAAGGTGACAGAAATGTTATATATTCTGATTGGACTACTGGTTACCTGAGAGTATAAATTTATCAAGGATAAATGAATCCATCCTTAAGGTCTGTGCATTTGACTGTATGTGAATTTTACAACCAATTTTTAAAAATCCTTTCTACAAGTAAAATGGCAATTTAACACCAAAAATTCCTGAAACCCTATCTTCCACTTGAAAAAACCAATATCTAATTCATCATTTCCAACTCTCCTGTAAATCTTTCAAATCATAAGAGCAAATAAAATTAATAAATGATACAATAAATGAAGAAAACCATTTTTAAAGCAATAAATCCAAACCAATGGCTACCATCTGGACATAATTTTAAGTTCTACAGAAACACCTCACACTTCCAAACATGGAACCCAATTTCCTGACTCCACTAAGACAAATAGTAAAATATCCCTAAAATCTAAAAATCTCAATTTCTACTACTCTTATAGTCTACTATTGCTACTCTGTATCTTAAACTCAAATTTTACTATGCTAATAGATTTACCCTATTTTGAACAACTGTCCTGCCTTCTGGGGAAACCCAAATGACTATGCAGAAAGGTAGAAACATAGTAAGAATACATTAATTTGGAATATTTGGGGATATCAGTATTAACTATTGAAAAATCTCAAGATTCCTTATATCAAATACTTTCAGAGATACCCAAACTAAGTATTCTTACCAAATATGTTTTTTAAGACCTGTTAAGTTAATGATTATAAATTATGTCTTTAATGAGCAAGTGTTTTAATTCAGTACTTACACTTAAATACCACTCATCCACAAAGTGCTGTCTGAAAACATGGCCTTTGAGGTCTGCAAAGTCTATTTTCCTTTGAAAAGGGTCCATAGACTACTTTTCAAACTACAACTAACGATGATACCAAGAAATTAACTGGCATTTTTTACACATTTGAATTATCAATGCCAAACTGATATTAAAAGTATTAGTGAGGTTTACTAGAAAATACTAATGCATGAAAATGGTGGGGCGGACATAGGACATATCAAAAACCTTCATACGTTACACTAAATATTACTGTGAACATAAAAAATAGTTCTAAAACTTAGTCTATTAGACAATATCTGCATGGTACCCCTCAACCACCCCAAAAATGAGTATACACTTAACTTCTTCAAAAAACCCACACCACACCAACATTTTAATAAAAACTACAAATGGCTTCTGGAATAGTTGTTCACATTAACATTCCAAGACTCTTTCCTGTGCAAAACGACTTAACTCCTGTTACTTTTAGAAAGTAGTGTAAAACATTTTATCTCTGCTAAACTTTTTAAAATGTGAAAGGAAACCTATCTACAAAAATAGCTGAAAACATTTCACAAAATAATTACTGTCAAATTTTTTAAAGTCTTATAATTTATCCTAATTTGAAAGCAATATTTTAAGTAGTTTCATGAGTACAAATTCATGAATTCCAATTCAAGAATATTAAAAAATTTTCTAATTTGCCACAGTGAAACATAACTATTGCTTAAATTTTTTTGCCCTTGAAATAGAAGGGTAATGTACTATTTATCCCTCTACAGAAATACACTTAGGAGATCACCTATAAGAAACCAGCTATCAAAATGAGCAACTTTCCTGTGGTTTCCACATGATTTACCTAAGCAAATACCCCAGAAACTCTATTCTTAGAACACTACACAAAAAGCAAAAAACCCTACTCTACATTTAAAATGTTTCTTCTTATGAATGCAACGAAACCATCTTTATAGCTGTGTTGATTTAAAGACAGTGAGCTATTACAACTTCTAACCTATAAAAAAAAAAAAGGCAAGTGAATCCTTAAAAGCTCATTTAAGGGTAAGTGGCTGAAATTAACAAGCTCATTTTAAATAACTTAGCTGATTTTATCCAACGATTCATCCTACTTAATCATTATCACAAAAACCCCACGAAATGCTTATTTTCTAATCAAGTCTTAGAGGGAAAAGGGAGGAAAGCTAACTTGAAATGGTATTATCTCAGATCCATTTATCTTAACTAGAGAATAGCAAGTCATTTTCCAGACATGGTGAGGGAGATAACTGCTATTTCTTAAAACCTAAAGTCATGATGAAGTACATTTAAAATGCAAGAGTGAACCCTGCAGAAAATAATCTACCCCACTCCATAAGGATGCTTTATGACGATTTGCCTTTTTATCCTTTTATAACGTAGATGATTAAAATCATAAGCCAAAGGCATGACGACAGAGCCGAGTCCCCAGCGGAAACTGGAAATGAAGACGAATCCACACGGCACAGGAGTTCCCGTTACCATCCATCCTCCTCAAATGGGGGTCATCCGAAGGCATCGCTTCTATAGCCCAAAAAGCCTTTGTCCATACTCCCAGGGGTCAGAGCTTCCTTCTTTTGCTCCAGGCCAAAGTTTCTACGTGGGATCCGATGCTCTTGCCAGACAGACCTTCAGCCAAATCAGCCTTCAAATCAACCTGGACCACCCAACCTCCGTGCCTTTCCGGTACACCGGCTCAAGGGCAAACATTCCGCCCCGACTCGCCCAAGGGTGAGCTGTCCCTACATCTAAACATTCGGGCTCCCCTCACCCTAAAACTAGCCGGGCCTCCAAGCGCTTTTCCTGCCACCACTGACTACGATGACATAGCAAAGAAAAACCAGTACCTACGAATCCTTCCAGATCTCCACTCTCTCAAGCCGACTGGCAAGGGCACGCACAACACCACATGGAGGGTGCCGGGGAAGTCGGGTGCGTTTAGCAGGGAAAAGAGGGTGCCCTGACGGCAGAAGCTACGCTCGCTGCTGGCGCGGCCCCGCCTTTCCCTGAGCTTCGTTCCCGGCCGCCAAGCCCTCCCCACGCCCGACGCCCCTGCGGTAACTGCTTCGCACTCGGGCGATCAAACACACACCGATGCCGCCGAGTCGGAACCCCAAGGCTGGGGGTGGGGAGCACTCCTCGACCGTAGCAGCCTCCCCAGAGCCGGGAGAGCCCTCAGCGAGCCCAGAAGAAGATGGCGCCCACTCTCTCCCCTTCGCTCCGGACAAACGGACGTACACTGGCTCTGCCCATGCGCTCTGCAGGCGTCCCCCTACCCCCTCCCCCGCCGCCCCGGCCCCGTCTGCGCACGCGCCCTAACGCTCGCAGGCTTCCCGTTGTCAAGAGGGAGGGAGGCGGCGCCTGGGGGCCCGGCGGGACCGACCTCTTGCGCATGCTCAGAGCCTGGGCCGCGCGGGACTTTCCTCGGGGCTGGCAGAGAGCTTCCGTTAACAGAAGTTTGCGGTCAGCACACGGCTGTGATGGGAAACCTGTGTAACAGCCGAAGTACACTGGACGAACGTTCGTGATTCCCAAGGGCTACGAAAAGACTCGCAACAGCAGAGGAAACACTTTTGGATGCTGAGCACGGCCCCATGGGACTCCTGGGCGCGGAGGCTTTTCTGTCCCCTTTTTGTGTCTTTGGCTTCCCTGGAGGCTCAGACTGCAAAGCGTCTGCCCGCAATGTGGTAGACCCGGGCTCGATCCCTGGGTCGGGAAAATCCCCTGGGGAAGGAAATGACAACCTACTCCCAATATTCTTGCCTGGAGAATCCTATGAACAGAGGAGCCTGGTAGGTTACAGTCCATGGGGTCGCAAAGAGTCGGACGTGACTGAGCGACTTCACTGTCACTTTGTTCCTTATAGGCAAGACTCCAGCCTCCGTGGTCTTCTCTCAGTTCCAAAAGGCAGCCGTCAACATCAACAGTTATGCAAATAAGAGAATGATAATAATTACGGTATGGTGGGTGAAGTGAAGGCACTCAGTCGTGTCTGACTCTGCAACCCCATGGACTGCATGCAGCCTACCAAGCTCCTCTGTCCGCGGGATTCTCCAGGCAAGAGTACTGGAGTGGGTTGCCACTTCCTTCTCCAGAGGACCTTCCCAACCCGGGGGTGGAACCCAGGTCTCCTGCGTTGCAGGCAGATTGCTGTCTCCTGAACTGTAAAAGGCAGGAACAGTTCCTAGGCAAAGGAGGAACAGCAACGAAGTCTCCACAGGCAGGATTTAAGGACCAGAGAAACTCACCAAGATTAGGAGACTGGAATATTTTTGCTCGAATCTGTGCCTCCTGTGTCCTGCATTGGCAGGCAGGTTCTTTGCCGCTGACCACCAGGGAAGCCCCGCGTCACTCCTGATCATGCACAAAGCTGTTTTCTTTGGGGTCTGCTTTCCTCAAACGGTTCACCACTTTCTGTACAACAACTTTATTTTTTCCAATCAAACAGTCAGCTGTAAGTCAGACCTATTTCCTTTTCCCTCGATAAAATTCAACTCCATTCCACATGCCATCTTTACTGATAACTTACACCCTGTTTTCCTATTGTTTGCTGAAAATTTTTTTATTTCTATTAGCTTTAATCACAGTTTTATTAGAATCCTCTTAAAACCTTCATTTCTTGTGAAAATTAAGAAGTAAGCAATTAATGTCCTTTCCATTAGTATTTTGTAGACCAGTAACAAATACCAGTGATAATTTCTAAAATTAAAAAAAAAAAAATGCTTTCGGATTGAGAAGATTGCAGGGCGGCACCAAACATATTCATTAATAGTGTTAAATATCTTTAGTTTCTCTGTAAAAGGAAGTCAGTGTTCAGTAATTAATGTTTCAGTATCTTATTTGGGAATGACCCAGATATTCAATAAACTTTCCTCACTTTTTTAATGCAACTCCAGAATTTTAAGTTAGCAAAATTGCAGACTATTTTAGACAGAGATTTCCAAAGCATATTCATTCTTAACAGTTTATCTAAAAGTTGTAATCTCATTTACATTTTCTGTCCCTAAAAGTTTCTTTATATTGAATTGGGCCACCACCAGCTGGGGATGTCGCTTATTTTGCTGATCCATTACAAAGAGCATACACTGAGGCTCTAGGGCTACTCAACCATCTTGGATCTATTTGCCTCTAATCAGCCTACGTAATTTTCTTGGATGATGTCTTTCTTTCAAAACTTGTGCCCAGCCCCCTCCCCTCCTATTTTATTTCCTACTCTCAGATATTTTACTCCCACATTCTTATGGGAAGCAGAGGGGTGACGGTCTGTCTTGTGTGTTTCAAGGCTGAGTAGGGGGCACCGACGCTGCCTGGCAGGGAATGAAGATCTCTGGATGCCTGATCTACGGGCCTCGGGGGCAGGACAGCTCCTTGTTTTAATTCACATGGGATGGAAACCTCGCCTAGCCATCACTATGATGTGGAAATGTGACTGCTTCCTTAGCCCTCTTGTGAATCTCCTTAATAATGAATCCTTTTTTGTAACAGCATCAGAGTACAAAAGTGTACATAAATAACAAAAGATACGGTAAACATCTGATAGATAAACTTGGTTACAGTAACCAGAATTATGAATGATTACATTTAACCTACAAAATAATTCTAGTTAAATATTTCTCACTAGGAGAACTTTGGGGCACTGGAAAGTATCCCAAAGTTAGCTGGAACTCAAAAGAATTTTAATTACTATTTGATGTTTGGGAAGCTTGCCAAAAAGTTTTAAAACACTTGGTCAAGCTCAATCATTGTAAGACAATACTCATTGCTTAGCCAAAGTAACCAGAGATCTCAAAAGCAAATATTAATACAAATCCCATAAAATCAAGATATTTACATAGTCTGTAGTAAAAAGCAGTGTTTCAACAATACTGGAGGGAAAAACCAAAACTGTTGTAAAGAAACCAATTCTGATTCTGTGTTGGAACTGTTTCTTTGACTTGCTTTTCCTTGCTTTTGATATTCTGATCATACCTAAGAGCCAACTTCAGAGGACTCTGTCCCTCGCCTGAGGGTAAACTGAAGTGCCTTTGTTCAATTCTCAGAGAGATGATCTGACCCTGCCCACCTGTGAATAGCTACAATGAAAAGAGATTAACACACCTATTCCGAAGGCTGGCCATTCCCTGGGAGATGTTTTGCAAGACTGAAGACAATTCCACTTGACTTCCCCACTGCCTCTCCCTCTCTGGTCTGTCTTTTGACTTTAGTTCCTCCTGGCTTCTTTCTCTTTGGCTCTATGAAAAGAACCTCGCATCCAGACCCCAATAAGATGGTTATTTTTAGGCACTAACCTGCCATCTTCTTGGTCAGCTTGTTAGGGGAAGCACACTGATTGAAACTGCCCACCCTGGCCAGACACCATAGTAACCATTTGCGTGAGTTGTTTTATGACAGGAGATCCTGATAAGGAATACAGAACTAATAAGCCACCACCAACCAGAGGAGTTCGGGAAAGGTTGAAAGAAGACACCGCGTTTCCATCCACTTCCCAGAATTCCGTCTCGCTACCATCCATCTTTGCTGAGTGATGGGTGCGCCACCAGGAAAGACTCTGAATTAGAATGATTGGCCAAAGACCACCCGGAAACTAATCCCATCACCATAAAACCTGAGACTGTGAGCGAGCGAGCGGCAGAGCAGTTCTCCTGGGTTCCCTTACCCTCGTGTTCTCCACCCGGGTGCCCTTTCCCAATCAAATCTCTTGCTTTGACTGCATGTGTCTCCTCGGACAATTCATTTCCGAGTGTTAGACAAGAGCCCATTTTCGGGCCCTGGAAGGGGTCCCCCTTCCTACAACAAGCTGGCTCCTTTGTCTTAATCCTTCATCTCTCAAATTTATTGGCCTATCATGCGGCAAGCAGAGCAAACTTGAACTCAATAAAAGAACGAAAGAACGAGGGATTCAGGGTTGATGGCTTTCTCAAAGGAGAAAAGTTAGAAAAGTAGGCAGCTTCACCACAAGTAGAGGGGCCATAGTATCTCACACTTTATCTTTTCCCGGATGGAAGTGGGGCCAGGCAGGTGTAGTGAGATATCTCAGATGTAGGGTGACTGGAGAGGGAAATTGGGCAGCATTTTTGTTTGCAGGAAAGATCACTGAATCCAAGACTGAATGAATGACATGGCAGCTTCCAACCCAGCTGGGATCCTGGCCTTAACGGAAGTAAGTCCTACAAGGGCTTATGAGCACATAAAGGGGACCAGAAAGAGGAAACAGCATTATATTCAGAGTCTCACCCAGTGGACAGGACATTTTTTAATACTGAGGGCCAAAACCCAGAGAAAAATAATTGATATAAATTATATAAGAAAAATTTCCTCATAATTTGGCAAGTTTTAAGATAATTATATGATGTATTTATTTGATTTTTAAATTAGAAAAAATGCAAGTGATTTGTAATAAATATGAGTAAAATATGTACAGCAGTTTGATTCTAATGCTAAAAAAGATACAGAGAGCAAATGTCTAGAAAGGTAAAATCAAAAGAGACAAAAAATAGGGACAAGGAGAAAGAGAGAAACAAGCTTGAACTTGGTAACGTAGCCAGTCTTGTTCCAGCCCATTTTTAACAAAATCCATTTGACCAACTAAACTCAGTCCAGCCTTAGAGAATCCTGATCATGCACAATTCAATATCTTTTATTCCTTATACCTTCCACGGAAAATGTTACCGAGCCTAAGCTTGCTCTGCTCATCACACAACAGACCAACGACTCCGAGAAATGAGGTGTTGAGGCAAGGAAGAGACTTACCTCTCTGGGGAGTCAGGAGACTAAGAAGATGGCAGGCTAGCACCTCAAAATAACCATCTTATCAGGGTCTGGATGCCAAGTTCTTTTTATCAATCAGAAAGAAGCAACGAGGAACTAAGACAAAAGGCAGAATAGAGAGGGAGAAGCAGTGGGGAACTAAAGTGAAAGGGTCTTCAGTCCTGAAAAACATCTCCAAGGGAATGGCCAGCCTTCAGAAGGAGTATGTTAATCTCTTCTATTCACATGTGGGCAGGGACAAACTATCTCTTCATCAGCTGGACAAAGGCACTTTAGCTTACAGTCAAGCAGAGGGTCAGCGTCTTCCAGGCAAGTCACTGAGTGGGTCTCATTATAAAAATAAAAGCAAGTCAAAGGAACAGTTTCCAACATGCAGTCAGCACTGGCTTCCTCCCTGCAACAAAAACTCACCTAGAGCCACACATCCTGGAATGTGAAGTCAAGTGGGCCTTAGGAAGCATCACTATGAACAAAGCTAGTGGAGATGATG